GGGGGGGGGGGGGGGGGGGGGGGGGGGGGGCACTGGACAGGTTGGATTGGATATTCAGAGTTCGTCTTATTTTTAATATTTTCAGATCCAGTCACCAGTGTCGAGATCTACTTGATGAAGCCCGTGATTACCATCTCATGCCGGAGAGAAGACCCTTACTCAAATCCTTTAAATCCAAACCCAGATGTTGTAAGGTACAGGGTTTCCCACTAAAAATGATAAGTAGAGGGAGAAATCGTTAAATATACAGGGTGTCTCTGAAAAAAGTGTGTTAAGGTATTTTAGCAAAATAAATATAATTCAAATGTGCAAAAAAGTGGTTCGAGTAGGTACATTACCCACAAATGGGGGGTAAGGGGACGTGGATGAAACATCTTCTCTAAAATGTCTTTTTATTTATTTTATGATTTTTGACCTTTTTTGGGGAATGAAGTGTAGGCAGGCACATTTCCCTAGATAAGGTGGTTTTCAAGTTATGGTAAAAATATTTGCTATGTAACAACATCTAAATGCTAATACACATTAAATTGCTAAATTGTCGACTTCCTAGACCACAATGTTATGGGTCTCACTGTATTTTTCTCTGAAGTCACATATTTTTCCCAATTGAGTTAAATGAAACCTTTTAAAAACTCCAAATATACTAGGGAAGGAATGACTTCGGAAGAAATGCAGTTATACAGGGGGTCCATATTATTCAATCCAATACGATCCCAGATGTTGATTGATTGATATTAGGGGGCAGAAATAAACAATGATGTTATTGTAAACAATTTGAAATACAATGTCAAGTTTCAGATAAAAATCCATACTGCAGAATTTATACTGCAATAGAGTATTTATTTTTCTGTATATCATAATTTATCTCTTATATTGATTATTGATATTCACATTTTTTAACATCCCAAATGCAGTACACATTTCTGAAGTGGGGTACACTTGCCAAAGTTCACAATGACATAGAAAGCCTCATGCCCCTAAATGTACTTAAACCCCGATACCATTGAGATTAGAAATGGAATTATATGGACCCCTGGTTTTATTTGTCGGATTCGTTCTAGCTGCGAATTCCTCGCCTAGCTAGCCTGGTAAATCGCAGCTGAATCATCTCTAGATAATGTTTAACAAATCGGATAATTGTTTCTATTCCAGGACCTAGTCGGGGTAATCTACGCTGTGGGCGGGCAAACCAAATCCGGGAATAGTTTAAGCACTGTAGAAGTATTTGATCCTATTGTTGGAAGATGGAGGGATGCAGAAGCTATGTCAATGCTCAGGTCTGTAGTTCTTTATTTTTATCCGGATCTAGATCCTAGACCGTATAATAAAAGGATCCAAATCCACTTCCTAAATTAATATTCAATTTTTAGTTCACCAAAAACATTTCGCTTAATTTTACAAGGAGACTTTTTATTGTTCACATAAATTTCCTTTCAGTCATCTTGAGTTTTCTACATATATAATAATGATGTGACGTGTCTAATAATTCTTTTGTTATTATTGTAGATCCCGAGTTGGGGTTGCAGTTATGCAGAACCGTCTCTACGCTATAGGAGGCTACAATGGGCAGGAGAGATTAAATACAGTGGAGGTAAGCACTCCCTTTATTGGAAATAGAATATATACATGAAGGTGAACACTCCCTTTATTGGAAATAGATTAAATACATTAAGGTGAACACTCCCTTTATTGTAAATAGAATAAATTCATTAAGGTGAACACTCCTTTTAATGGAAATAGAATAAATACATTAAGGTGAACACTCCCTTTATTGGAAATAGATTAAATACATTAAGGTGAACACTTCCTTTAATGGAAATAGATTAAATACATTAACCCTATCCCTGCTGGGGTGCTTGAAAACCAGGATACACTGGAGGGGGGGTCAATTTGCCTCCCCTCTAAATCCAATGCTTTGATGTCCAAATATGACAAATGATACAATATTGGAAAGCTTTTATGCTCTTCTTTTAGTATTTGCAAAAAAAATTGACAATTTGCAAAAATTGGTTTTTTTTTGCAAAATATACATTTTTAAAAAGCCCTTGACCATGCCATTTCAAATATGCAAAAATATATTCAAAATTTTGAATAACCATATTATGTGTAAATAAGAAAACTAAAAATGTGCAAATTTCTTTCGATGGGTTGTGTGCAAATAATTTGCAAAAAATTCTTCGAAAAATTTGTGCAATCCGTTTCCTTGTGTCATAGGCTTTCCAAAAAGCTAAATTTTATCAAAATCTGACAAGTGAAAGTGGGTCAAAACAAATATTTAGTTTGTTAGAGGAAAAAGTAGTCATTCAGGCAGTGTGCCTACGGACTCAGACAGTTAGTATAAAAGCCCGGTTTTAGACCTAAAAGGAGGGCTAGAGTATGTGAAAAAAACTACATGGGGGGGGGCAAATTGACCTCACCCCCAGCAGGAATAGGCTTAAGGTAAACACTACGTGTAACGGAAATAGATTAAATACATTATGGTAAACACTACCTTGAAAAAATATAAAAAAAATATTCACTTTGATTGAAATAGATTTAATACATTAACACTACCTATATTGGAAATAGATTAAATACATTTGATGTTTATTTGCTGATCCTTCCATTTTAATGGGGGCGATTCAAATAAATAATGTGAACGACGTCGTTATTTAGCTTACAGGTGTTAAATTCTGACATTTTTTTCTAGAACAGAAATCCGCAGACTTGAGGAGAAAGCTATCTATATCAGATAGATTTTTGATTAGACAAAGTGAAAATCTGACATGTTAATCTGACATGTTAATCTGACATGTTAATCTGACATGTTAATCTGACATGCCACTCGTTAAATGGAGAGTCACTTAAAATTACGGCTATAAGCCCTGGAATAAAATTAAAATGCTGTTAAGGTATTTAACGCAAACTCTAAGAAGTGGAGCCGTGTAGCCTCCATGAACTGTAAGAGAAGCGCTGTTGGTGCTGTTGCGCTTGGTGATCATCTCTATGTTTGCGGGGGCTTCGATGGTATCTCCAGGTTAGATCAAAACAAATTATTTAGTTTTTGGATTACTCCGAGGATCCCTAAAAGGGTTGAAAGCAGGAGTTATCGCGGTTAACATTAAAGAATTTCTTGTTATTCTTGCGTTAGTAAAACACGGCAGACTTAATGATATGACGTAGGAATTTTTTAAAATATGGATTTTTTTTCATTCTTTGAATATCAGTTTTTTGTGTTTCTTTTTTAGCATAAATGGGGTTTCTTCTTTTTTAAAGCAATTTACCATCCAATATATTTATATGAACATTTAAATACAGTCACTGTCGTCATTATAATAAAAACATTTTCTACACGCCCCTCCCCCTCAGTAAAGAGAAAAATATTACGTTTTCATGCCAGTTAGAGAGAATAGATAAAGATTGGGGTTACAAGTATCAATCAATATTTAAGTTTTCCGATCCATTTCCTCGTATCCTAAATTTTAGATGAATTATATGAGTTGTTTTGGGATGAGGAGTGGATTATATGAACAGTGCTAAAGATCCAATTAATTTTAATGAAATTCCTGTCTTGCTAATTAAAATTTTTTTTTTAAATTTTAAAAATTTTCTTCCTTTTTGGCAAATTTTTATTAATGTTTTGAGAGCTTAGATGAGATTATGTTCTGGATGTTTTAGTGCAGATAAACTCTAAAATAGTTGTTTTCTGAGTTACTACAGAGCTGAGATTTTAAAAGCTTAAACCCTAGTAAAACCCGGTCTTATCGTTTACTTAGACCCGAATAAAGCTCAAGAAAAGACTCGGGTTTTGGACGACCTGGGGTTTAGTAAAATCTTACTGCCTTGGGGTTTTCGCTCTTGAAGGTTCGGGTCTTCAAAAGCTGATGATCGTAAATTTTGTAAAACTATTCTACTTATACATTAAAAATCTTGGGATTTATTAGTAGTGTCAAATTTGATCATGGTATGTAATAAAGATACTATGAAAATAATTAATCTACGTAAAGTTTGAATTTTCGAAAATTTATATCTCCTTGTCACAGCTGATATGTCTGCTACAGATAGAAAGCTTTCTAAGCAGTCTTTCATTGGTAGAATCAGAACCAATTCTAACTTGGGGTTTAGCTGAGCTCGAGTCCTTCAATAGACCTGAATTTACTCTGTTAAGTTTGGATACAGTTGAGAGATATGATCCTGAAGAGAATAGCTGGAGTATGGTTGCTAGCATGACAAAGGTAAGAACTTTATGGCGGACAATTTGCCCGTGGAAGCGTTGACACAAGTTTTCTTATCTGCCATAGGATTTGCGGACAAGCAGTCTTATCCGCCAAAGCATTGGCGGTTTAATCGTCTTAATATCCACAGTATTTGCAGACAAGTGCTTTATTTGCCGCAGCATTGGCGGACAAATTGTTTTATCTGCCATACCATTGGCGGACAAATTGTTTTAAGAAATACTTAAAAAAATTATTCCTGTTGCCCCCTGTTGATATACATTTTTTCATGGATTTAAGAAACATGGACTGAAAAACTATACTTCTATTTAAAATTTTAGTTTATTCTAAAGTTTTAATTTTTTTATATTTCATAAGTTCGTTTTTTTCAGCATCGTTCTGCGGCCGGTGTTGTTGAGCTGAACGGTAAAATCTACGCTTTGGGCGGGCATAATGGTCTATCTATATTCGATAGTGTTGAGGTAGGCCGAATAAACGAGGAATAAACGTGGAATTAACAGTTTATTTACATCCCCGCTCTTTCTCCATCTAAAGGGACGAACATTTAAGGGGTCCTCTTTTTACAGAGTATCACGTCCAATCACAACCGTACATGTTAGAACTTAATCTGCTGAATTCTCATAATTTCATCCTAAACGCATCAATCTCAAAACACTTTTATACAGAAACTAAAATAGATTTTGACAGTGGCTTTAAACCCCCATCATCCTTCCCTTCTACAATACATCAAAAAAAATTTGCAAATCTAAGAAAAAAAAACGCAAAATATGAACAAATATGATATTGGTGATTTCTTGAAAATATTTACCTCTCCCTAAAAGATGACATACACTGAATTTCCAGTTTAAATCATATTAGTTTTCTATCCAGCAATTTAGCTGTTGGTAAAATTCACTCAAAAAATATTTTCTGTTGGTCAGAAAAACTCTTTTGAGAGCTGAAAACCAAGAATAAACAAATGTTTAAATAAGAAACTTGGTTTAGGTTTACGATACTCATAAAGAATGTTGGACGGAAACTGTTCCTATGCTGTCCAAACGCTGCAGGTTAGAAATTCAATTTTATTGTAATTGTTATTTTATTTGTAAAGATCTTAATTATTTTTTTATCCGTAATTTCTAATGTCTATTCTCTAGCTTTCCAGTTGTAACTATTGTCTAGTTTAAGCTTAATGTCTATTGTCTAGTTTAAGCTTAATGTCTATTGTCTAGTTTAAGCTTAATGTCTATTGTCTAGTTTAAGCTTAATGTCTATTGTCGAGTGTCTAGTTTAAGCTTAAAGTCTATTGTCTACTTTAAGTTTAAAGTCTATTGTTTAGTTTAAGTTTAAAGTCTATTGTTTAGTTTAAGCTTAAAGTCTATTGTTTAGTTTAAGCTTAATGTCTATTGTCTAGTTTAAGCTTAATGTCTATTGTCTANGTTTATTTATCTGTTCCGTGGAGTGCTTTGATCCAGATACACATAAGTAGGTTTATTTATCTGTTTGTGGAGTGCTTTGATCCAGATCCTCATAAGTATGTTTATTTATCTGTTCCGTGGAGTGCTTTGATCCAGATACTCATAAGTAGGTTTATTTATCTGTTTGTGGAGTGCTTTGATTCAGATACTCATAAGTATGTTTATTTATTTGTTCCGTGGAGTGCTTTGATCCAGATACACATAAGTAGGTTTATTTATCTGTTTGTGGAGTGCTTTGATCCAGATACTCATATGTAGGTTAGTTTATCTGTTCCGTGGAGTGCTTTGATCCAGATACTCAAAGGTAGGTTTATTTATCTGTTCCGTGGAGTGCTTTGATCCATATACTCATAAGTAGGTTTATTTATTAGACGACTTTACAAAATTTATATTGTTTTTTTTTTAGGCCATTAAAAGACAATATTCAAGGCAGAGGAATTAATTTATCTTTGTTATCGTCATATTTTATGAGTTACAGTTAGACTTTACAGTCTCATCCTTTGTGGGTAACCCTGTATGTAATATGCATAAAGGGATTTTTCTAATATTGATATTGAGTACAGGCAATGTTAATTAGTTGTCAGCACTACAGGGTTACCCACAAAGGATGAGACTTTAGAGACGACTGTACAGAATTTATTCATGATTGCCTTTTCAAGACAAAAGACTTAATTTAACCTTGAAATCATAATATGTAAGAGTTTTAGGTCGTCTTTACAGTCTCATCCCTTTTGGGTAAACCTGCATCTCATGGAAATGTTATTGTGAACTGTTAAACCATGTTGTTTTTCTATTATATATAATTCTAGGTTGAGAAATACTGCCCTGATACGGACAGATGGGAGTTTGTTGCACGGATGGAGTCCCATGAGGGAGGAGTGGGAGTGGGAGTTATTCCTATGGTGTAAATGCTTTAAAGTCCTGTTTATGTTGTATAGCTTTGTTTACAAATTAAGTGTTCTTCTGTTTCTGGGAGAAATATAAACAATGCTCCTCCAAGAAACTAATGTACACTCTATTTCTAAACATATATACCTTTATTGGCAGCTAAATAGTAAGCCTCGCCCTGAGGCCGTTCCTTCCATAAACTACATTTGTCGACAACTTGACGTCTCCTATATTGGTCGTCAAATGTACGGAGAAATATCTATCTGTCAAATAAGAATTTAGCATGAGACATCTAGCGGCCAACATTTCGTCCCCCAAAGTACGTGAACTACACGACCACTATTTATGGAGAGAACGGGCTCTGATGTGACCATTGGGGTTCCACAATCCACCTAGTGATGTGCATTCAGTTGATTCGTTTTTGGGTCGTTTTTCCTATAATTTCTTGAAAAGCAATGTTTTCAAAATTGTTTATTCTAAACATTTGTTTTCGTCAAACTACGTCAAATTTTGACCCTGACAGATTTATGCAAAACACGATGTAAAAACGATCCGAAAACATTATACAGTTTTTAAATCTTGAACGTTTATTAATTTTTTTCTTTTATGAACGATAAACAACAATAGTTTCACATTCTGATCCTATGATTATACCAGGAACCTTATATCTAATGGTAGGAATGTTAACAATATTCCTCGCAGAGACTGGAGTACACTTATATGAAAACTAAGATTATTAGGGTTGCTGGACTCTGGGATATTTTTTGGTTATAGCTATTTTGTATTATTTTATTATCTTTAATTCAAAAGACCTCAAACGTTTTCAAGAACATGATTATTTAAAGATAAGATGGATATCGAACGTTTTTAAAATCTAATTAAAACATAATCTTTATTGTGAAAAGACCAGGTGATACTCAATAAATTTACACACAAATGACAAACTAAATTTATGCTTAAATCTTTCCCTACAGCTTGCATAGAATTGGCCGAATAGAAAAAAGATGAAGCTAGATTGTTAAGCTCATCACTTAAGTGAATAATATGCTTTAAATTTGTAAAATTCGATCCAGTGTAAGTTGTATTTGCTTCCATTTTAGATTTCTGCAGCTTATTTTATATAAAATTAAAGCATTTAGTATTTTATTGTAGACATTTTTACTGTGATGTAAATGCATTTATGATATTTCACAAATATTCAGCTGTACGGTGTACACTATAAATTTTAGAAAAAATGGCGGGATTGGACCAGAACCGCGGCAAAAATTCTGTTCTGCGGCATGTTAATTTAAACTCTGTCCAACAACCGGGTTTAAGGTATGGAAAACTTACGAAGGAAAAATATATCTTTTGATCAAAATTTTGTTATTCGATAAACGTTTTTGGCAAATATCATTTAGACATTTTAACTACATAGTTGCCACTTGTTCTTAAATTTAAGATTAGGCTTAAGAACAGCAATTCGTTCTTAAAGTTCTTAATTTTCGGAGGGAAAAGCTCTTTAATTTTCAAAACTTCTTTTCAAAATTTTACATAAAAATTGTTTTCTCTACATTTTCATCAAATGTCACCTTTAAAAATATGATGAAGAAAAAATTCTTGTTTTTGTACTTCATCAAATAGTTCCTCTTATATTTTATTCAAAGTTCTGATTTAATTCTCTAAACCTCCTTCTGTAAATATGTTTCTTTTTTACATTTTAGTATATTAGGTTCAGGAGATAGATAAGAATTCAAATTATAAATGATAAAAGTGTGGTTTTTGAGACATTTTTTCAAGCCCAGCCAGAAGGAGGGATGTGTAATTTTTAACATATGTCAGAAAAAGTGAAATTTAATTACTTAAGAAGATTGATTTTCAGTTGATTAATATAGGAAAAATATAAACGAATTCCATTTTTAGGTCACCTTATTTTTTAAAAAGATAAAATATTTTGCTAAATTATAACAAAACGTTTAAACTATAGCTGTAGTGTACAATAGTTCCATGTTTACTGTTTAGATTAGGACAGTGTTGAACATTTGTTGTATTTTTTAAGATGTTTTAAATGATATTTTTTAACATATTTAAGATTCATATATTTTCTCTGGATGTTAAATTTTTAAAGTCACTACTATTAAAATGTTTATGCGGGTTGCATTATGGTTCAGGTTTCGGAAAATCAAACCAATGAAAAATGTTTGAGGTGTCAAAGTAAGATGACTAACGAAAGCAGTTTTCATAGGATTAAAAGAAAAAGAGTATCAAAGTATTCAATGATTGGCCACAACAAACAGAACAATTCGAGATCAAAAAGCTTATCTCAAGCAAAAAACTTATCAAAGTAATGTTTGACATAAAAAAGAGGATTTTAAAAAAAATTCAAGTTTTTCATATTTTTCCAATTTTTGTGGGATTTCAAAAAAATGTTCTTAAAATAAAAAAAAGTTTGCCATTTCAAAAATATATTCTTAAAAATCTTAATTTTGGAAAATGTACCTAATTTTGTTCTTAATTTTTGCCAAAAACTTTTAGATAAATCTTTAATTTAAGAACAGCGTTCTTAAATGTTTGGAGGGCAGTGGGCAACTATGTAGTTACAGTGGTCGGCGTTTATAATTATACAATTAAGACGAATTTTGTATTTAAGTTTTGAAAGCTTTTTTCTAATACCAAGCTTACAATATAACAAAGAGAATCTGTTAGCGGACAGTTTGTTTTTGTTTCCATAGTTGGCCAATTTCTTACTCATTTAACCATAGGTACAACTATAGTTCGTATCTATCTATCTACACTGCTCTGGTACGGCGTAACTATAGTGTGACTATGGTTCTACCTATGGTAGAGTGTTTAAGAAATTGGCCAAGTATAATCCATGGTTGAAAGCCTGTTAGAAATCTAAATCGAAAGTCGTCTTCATTGTATTGGTTTGTAGGACGAATACTGTATCAGTATTCAGCTGGAAGATTGATTGGTTTAAAATATGTATTATTTAATTTGGTTTCTCTACTCAGAATTTTTTTTTAATAACTTTAGGGAAAGAGGTCAGGTAGGTCAAGTAGGTCAAGGGGGTCAGGTGGGCGTTCTTCAGCTCGGCTCTCCACTAATCCTTGATGGAAGAAAGTGTATTGAAATCTCAGATAGGTAATTTTTTATTTTTTAAGTTTCTTAATGCAATTATTTCTACTCGGCGGGACCCTTCTGTTACTGGGTTGTAAAGTGTATACGTAATATTAAGCGATCCTCACATTTATGAGTTCCATGTCTGATTTACATCAGTACCTCAGCAAATATGTCTTAATAGCAATGAGGAAGATATCGTCGTTTTTCTAGCTTTCAAGAGATACATTTGTAAATATCCTCCCAGTTAAACATAAATTCTCAAGTCACTTGTAGTCAGGGAAACATTATAATTTAAAATGATCAATTTTCAAATTTAAAGATGAGAATATCTTTACCAATTTTGTTGAGAGGAAGGTTTAAAGGGTATTTACGTGAATCCGGCTTGAACCTCTCTTAAAATAGTTTGTAACTACGTCTACATTTTCTTTATGAAATTTTCATTAAAAACAGATTTGAAAATATGGTTGGAGATTTACTTCTATTTTTTTATTAGAAATTATAATCGGTCCAGTCCTGTCAGTGTCAGTAACCAAGGACTGTCTCAGGTATTCTTTAATTATAAATAATCAAACAACTTGTTATTAAAATTATCCTGGGATACATTAGGTCTGGCGGGGGTATTGGGGCCCAGTCTATACATTATTTGCTTGTTTGTATCCGACCGATCCGGCCCAAATTTTGTATGGGAAAAATCATGACCCCAGGAAAGATTTTCGTATCATCAGAATAAAAAATCTGCCTCGAAAAATTTTCGATTTTCGGAAAATTAAATGTTGTGAAATAAGACGGGCTCGAAGCGTCATAAAAGTCAAGTTTTTATGTTTTAAATAGATTTATTTTTATTAAGGTGTAATGTAACAAGTCCTGTCAAGGACTTAAGTAATTATAAGCAATACTATTTATAATTATCAATTTGTATAAACTTTTCAAGTGATAAAACCAGAAGGGTGAAAATATGTTTTAGGCCAGAGCATCAAAATATATATATTTTTAAAAAATTTTTCCACACTTGTTTCTGAATTTTTCCAGGCTATAATTGTAAAAAAGTGAAAACTATGAAATCCATGGGCAAATCAGTCCCCCTGGAATGTCTAAAAAGTGTAAGCCCCCCCCCCCCTGGGGAAAATTCCTGTATATGCCACGGCTACAACAGGTTATGGAGCCTTGCGCTGCGGCCAAATGATCAATTATAGCCATGTAATACATATGAGATCTATGTACAAAGTTGATAGGGTTGGGGTCCAAAAATCGTTCTCTAGTAAACTATATAATTTGTGAACATTTACATGATTTGTACACTTTGAACTCCCTTTCAGGCTGAAAGGGACTGAAAAAATTCATACCGAGAGATTCTTTTAATTCCTCTCTACATATTCTATTCTCTATGGTTACATTGCTTCAAAGTGTAGCTCACACTATAAAAACATACATATATATATTTCAAAAATGTTATATATTCATAAACAACAGATATAAGAAAATAAGAAAATTGTATCTACATTATGTTTCATGCTGTGCATTCTTCAACATAAATATCAATCTCATGGGCATCCCGGGGGGACAAAGGCTAAAAAATTTAAACTTTTTGAAATTCCACGGGAAATGACGTCGAGTTCTTGAGAAAAAAATCCAAGCGTTGGAAAACTGCAGGAGTAACTACAACTATTATAATAAAACATGGGCAACGCCGGGCACTCCTGCTAGTTTAACATAATGTTTGAATAACACTATGTTCTACAAGGTATAGCAGGGCATACAACACTACCCCGCAATTTGACTCAACAAACCATATCTCAGGATTTCTCAAACCAAACATTACCAGCCAGGTAATATATTAGGAAATATTTATCCAGGGGCGCAACAAGAGGGTAATATTTGGAGAAGGGGAATTTTCAGGTCAAAAAAATATGGTAAAAAGTACCTTCTTTTCATGAGGCCCACCACATCAGTATTATAATGTCCAAAAAAAAAATACCCAAGTTTCGTCTCTGTCTCAATGCATGTTTCGGATAAAAATAAAGGGAATGTTATTGAAATTTAAAATATAAGAGTCTTCTCAAATGATATTTTTGCAAGCAGGATTTTCCCAAGTAGCAAGTTTCGAAATTCCCAATGTTACAATTTTCCATTTAGCATAAAATTCATCATTTCAGATATTCTCAGTCAATGCAGCAACAGTATAGTACACAGGTTAGTTCAGTAAACTGGTTAGTTTAGTACACTAATTAGTTCATTAGTTCATTACACTGATTAGTTCAGTACACTGGTTATTTCATTACACTGATAAGTTCAGAACACTGATTAGTTCAGTACATGACACTGGTTAGTTCAGTACACTGGTTAGTTCAGTACACTGATTAGTTCAATACACTGGTTAGTTCAGTACATTGATTAGTTCAGTACATGACACTGGTTAGTTCAGCATACTGGTTAGTTTAGTATACTGGTTAGTTCAGTACACTGGTTAGTTCAGTACACTGGTTAGTTCAGTACAGTACAGACAGTTCACTGGTTAGTTTATTACACTAATTAGTTCTTTACACTGATTATTTCAGTACACTGGTTAGTTCAGTACACTGATAAGTTCAGAATACTGGTTAGTTCAGTACACTGAATAGTTCAGTACATGACACTTATTAGTTCATTAGTTCATTACACTGATTATTTCAGTACACTGGTTATTTCAGTACACTGATTAGTTCAGTACATGACACTGGTTAGTTCAGTACACTGATTAGTTCAGTACACTGGTTAGTTCAGTACATTGATTAGTTCAGTACACTGGTTAGTTCAGCACACTGGTTAGTTCAGTACATTGATTAATTCAGTACACTGGTTAGTTCAGTACGCTGATTAGTTCAGTACAGTGGTTAGTTCAGTACATGACACTGGTTAGTTCAGTACACTGATAAGTTCAGTACACTGGTTAGTTCAGTACACTGATTAGTTCAGCACACTGGTTAGTTCAGTACACTGATTAGTTCAGTACACTGGTTAGTTCAATACGCTGATTAGTTCAGTACAGTGGTTAGTTCAGTACACTGGTTAGTTCAGTACGCTGGTTAAGTTCAGTACACAGGTTACATTACAGTACACAGGTTAATGTTGGTTAAGTAATATTATTTAAATTTAAAAATTCGAAATTTAAACTTTTCTCTAAATATAAAGTCTTTTTCATTAATTCAAAAATAAAATTAAATAGATTCCTGTTTTTTAAGTACGCATAGTACAATGGAATAAACAGGTACCTAACATCCTTCAATTTATCATTTATATTTTAGTTAGGGGTCATCAAAAAGTAACATTTATAATAATTTGCGTTTTTTAAAATTGCGAGTAAAAATGTGTAGAAAAAATATTACAAAAGTTGGATATAAATATTTTGTTCCTTTAGTTGATGAATAACAGGGGGATGACCGGCCAAAAATCTGGTTCCCAGCAGCAGCTGAATCAGATTCAATCCATCAATCAATCCTTCCATCTTCCACCAAGCAGCCAACATAATATACAATCAATCAATCAACACTTCGTCAATCAGCAGGTGAGATCATTGGTATGTCTTATATCCGTAAATATAAAAGTATATAAATATACATCGAAGGAAAAAATATTTATATTTGTTTTGTTTTTTAGTTTATTTTCATTTAGATTATTCAGATTTTTATCATTTTTTATTCTTTTGTTCAGGCTTCTCAACAAACTACAAAGCATCTACAGCAACAGCAGTCACAGCAGATGTTCCAACAACAGCAAGCAATTCAACAACATCAACAGCAAGCTGCTCTCAAACAACAGCAGCAGCAGCAACAAGCAGCTCTTCAACACCAGCAATCTGTTCTTCAGCAGCAGCAGAAGCATTCTTCTTTTCAGCAGCAACAACAAGCTCTTCAGCAACAACAACAAGCTCTTCAGCAACTTCTTCAACGACAACGAAGTGAGGAGGATTCTCGGAAGAAAAGGGAGGAGACGGAGTTGCAGGAAAACATGGCGGCATTGCGTCTCAATAAACAAGGAATAGAGGTATGCCAATCTAAATAGGGTAACTGTGCTTAGGGTCCAAATCTTTTGGATTTGCAATATTTAGGTCTCTTCATCTGGATCCGCAAATATCTGCGAAACTTCCAAAACATCGGAGGGGAAAATTGATCTCAAAACATCATTTTCATTGTCAACTAATGATATATTATTAAAACCTTCCTTATCATTTAATGGTGAATTAAGTTTCTACATAATTAACAGCAAAACAGAAGAAGAAAGTTTGTTAAATTGTTTTGGTAAAATAAATTAGCAAAACTAAAGAAATATTCATGAAGGTCTGCACTGCATCTAAGTTGATTGGGTTGACTTTTATAATACTTTAGTGTTCAGACAATGCTGGGTTCCCAAGATAGTTATATCATTAAACTAGTTTTTACAAAGCATTCTATGAGTTTATTGTAGACGGGTGGAGACCAGGATAGAACCTATATGAACGTCCAACCAGTGGCCATAGTAGGGAAGGGTGGACGCATCTTAAAACCCGGAGATGTCAAGGAGAATTATCTTAAACAGGTTTTTTCTATTTTCTCTTTAAAGGGAGTGTAAGTGTAATTTTAAGTGACCCTCCGTGCAAGGATTCACAACAGTACCCTTATAAACTTCGTCTGATCATGAAAGAATTATCAATGTTTATTAATTTTAAAACTGGTTATTGTCAATTGTGGCCTTTCTACAAATGTGACTTCCACATCTACAGTAGCAATTTAAAAGAATAATCGGAATTACAAATTAAACACTTTTAAAGGTGGTGTATTTTTCGACCTACGCAAATCCGCTATACTTACTTCTGACCTACGACAACGTTACACTACACATCCGAACTACTAGCACGTAGTTTTACAGTTGCTAAATGGACTTGTGGCCGCAGCGCCCGGCCCCCTAGCCTGTCCTAGCCGCGGCGCTCGGCCCACTGGCCATGTCCTAGCCGCAGAAATTTTCTTAACCTAACCTAATACTCAAATGATACAAAAATAAACAGCTGGCGGAGCTCTGATATTGCAGTAGGTCTTAAAGTTAGTTGGTAAGAAGTTGCGTATATAGACGATGTAATGTAACATCACCCTTGTAAACCTAGAAAATGATAATATTTTCCTCATAATTGATCATTACTATTGTAAATCAGGCATTGCCATCTTTAAATGAAGGGTAAGGGTCACTTTGGGCTTACAGCCCCTTTAAGCTACAACTTGTATTGCAGTTTTGGAACTTTAAAAAATATTTTATCATTCTTTATAATTCAAAATTATCGAAATTTGATTTAAAAACTTCGAAATTAGCTATTATTATTGGTCAGTACTCAGTAGTTACTGGTCACTGGTCATTATTCACAAGGGACGTTCTTTTTTCCCTAGTCTTTTCGTGAAATCTAGCCGGGCACGCTTTAGGATCCGTTTTTTTGTCCTGTCTGACCTTACCTTCCATACTATTTATTTGGTAGAAGGGGGGTGGGGGGGTGTATGCAATATACAAGGTGTTTTAACAAACATGGAAAGCAAAAATCGTCTTTGATTGTATCAAATAAGATTCTACTTTAACTTTGGGCTTTTAAAAACGTGGTCTCGCTTCTTTCCATTTTTTTTAAATTGCGTAGTTAACAGTACACGATTATTTATCTGTTTTTAAATTAGGTTCAATTAAATTAATGGTCCACATTTTTGAAATCTCAAGGGAAGTTTAATGTGTTAAATGTTAAAGCTTGAAGACTACTAAACTCGTGCTTTTAAATAATGCCGCGTGGAACAAAGACGTTATAGAAGTCGTTACTTAAATCCCATGTTTATTGGTACTCCCTGTATGTTCCCGTTGATCGGGGTTCCTCTAGATGGGGAACCTGTTTTATCTTGTTTTTATGTTTGTTATGACTGAGCCTACTGTCCAGGAAACTGGAGGCGGAAAGAAGGCCCCTGTAGTACCAAAGAGTCAGGAGGTCAAGTACAAGAAGGAACCGTTGTACAGTACTATTCTACAGTTCCCCGGACCAGATTCAAACCCTAAGGTCATTTTTTTCAATAATTCTGAAATTCAAACAATATGATGCAGAGAGTGTCAGAAAAGGTGCGATAAACGTGGTCATTTTTAAAAAAAAATTATGAAATTCTCATGCATGGTATTTCAGCAATATTTTAGAAAATTGCTTTTATTTTTTTAAAACTCGCATGGTACCACAAAATATCCGCGAAACTTTTTTTCCGTCAAAAGTAAAAATAAAGAAAAACTAAAATGTGATAATAGATAATAACTATCAAATCCTAAAATTTCATTAAAATTTCTGACCAATTGAGAGCTAGATGTATCCATAAAAGATCACCAAAATTTTAATAAAAAAGATCAGATGTATTAAGTTGTTCAGTTGATCAAATAAGTAACACAGTCAGCACTCAACAGTTGCACATTATTTAAAATGTACTCCATTCTGTTGGTGAAATTTCACCGCACTAATTCTTAGATCTATTTATTAATAGCCTTGGTTAGATATGTACCCTAGAACTATATTGCGAATTTTCCTGACACAATTTTGCGAATTTTCTTATTTCCATGAGTCCGATTATTATAAAATTTCAGGATTAGATGGAAATTATACATTATACGCTGACACATTTTTTCTCTCTTCTAATTTTGATGTTGAGAAGATGAATTTTTTTGTTGTACCACCGTACGAGTTCCAAAAAAGAAAAAAAAATACAGAAGAATTTTTGTGAAAATTGAATTTTGAAGAAGATGGCGATAATTACACTTTTACTCACCCTGTAAATCTTTAAAAGTAATTGATCTAAATTTTGCAAACATTTTTTTTTTGTAAACCTGTCTCATTAAATGGTTTCCTAGATTCTTAAATTAAGAAGCCGAAAACTTAAAAAGGAAAAATAAAAACGGCCTCAGTACGGCATTTTGCAATCAATTATGCTTAAAAGACCTTTGGCATCAATATCTGAGTCAGCTGATTGTTGACAATTTAGGCGGGTTTTTAACGCGTTTTTTGGCGCATTTTTGTTATGACTGACTGAACCTGTTTTCTGTTTAGCTGCTTGGCCCCAATGTATTTGAAGATTGTGTTTACGCAAACTATGCTCCTGCTTCACTCTACTCAAACTATTCAAATTATAGTGAACTAGAGGTTAGTTTTTTTTGTTTGATTTATTTATATATTTAAACATAATTTCAAAATAATCTCAAGTGACCATAAATTTTGTTCGAACCTATTTTTCTTTTGTTGGATTAAAATGAGGAAGATATTAATTCTCTTGTTATGTTGACATCGGGATCCCTTAAGGAATTGAAATAGTATTCTTCTACCATCAAGTTTTACAAAATTATTTTACCTAGAATTTTCTTAATTTTTATTTTATTGAAAAGCATATTTAACGCGCTAAAATCAACTTACAAAATTTCAAATGTTAATAATTTTCTCAATTTATGGTGCAATTAAACGTTTTTAAAAATTGAGTTTGTTTAAAATTAGTAGATTTTCAATATTTTTCTATTCTGAAATTAATATATTTTTAAATATTTAAAAATTGTTCAAAATGAAAATATATATTTTGTTTATGTTTCAGGTACTGCGAAGTACTGACTCCCAGTGTTCCAATGAAGATGAGCCAACAGAAGGACTCCCTAACCTAGGAGATAGTCCTGTATCCTCTAGCTACAGTGAGCTCAGACAGGTTAGATAGTCTTATAACCTCCAGCTACAGTGAGCTCAGACAGGTTAGATAGTCTTATAACCTCCAGCTACAGTGAGCTCAGACAGGTTAGATAGTCCTGTATCCTCCAGCTACAGTGAGCTCAGACAGGTTAGATAGTCCTCTATCCTCCAACTACAGTTAGCTAAGAAAGGTTGGATAGTCCTGTATCCTCCAACTACAGTTAGATCAGACATGTTAGATAGTCCTGTATCCTCCAGCTTCAGTCAGATCAGACAGGTTAGATAGTCCTATATCCTCCAACTACAGTTAGCTTAGAAAGGTTGGATAGTCCTGTATCCTCCAACTACAGCCAGATCAGACAGGTTAGATAGTCCTGTATCCTCCAGCTACAGTCAGATCAGACAGGTTAAATAGTCCTGTATCCTCCAACTACAGTCAGATCAGACAGGTTAGATAGTTCTTTATCCTCCAACTACTGTCAGCTTAGACAGGTTAGATAGTCCTGTATTCTCCAGCTACAGTTAGCTTAGACATGTTAGATAGTCCTGTATCCTCCAGCTACAGTCAGCTTAGACAGGTTAGATACTAGATTTTTCTGTATCCTCAAGCTACAGTGAGCTCAGACAGGTCATAGATACACACAAACAAACTGTTCTTAATCATAAATATGTCTTTTCTAAAATTAGTTTTTAGATCTGTAGCTTTTGTCACAAAAAAGTTTTGGGCTATTTTATATATTTTTTTAATAGACAAACTGGACATTTTCCACCCTGTGCATTGCTCAAAAAAAAATTCTTCCCCGGCCCCCCCCCTTTCCCTGCCGCTTTTTAAAAAGTTTTTGGGGTAAAAGTATCAAAAAGAGTGATAAAAAAACATGCCTGTTAATTTTCAATTATTCATTCTTCCCCGCAGATTATCAAAAATTATGTATCCCGGCCCTGCTTTGAAATTTCGACTGAAACGTTTATTGGACTAAATCGACAATTAAATTGGACTAAAGAAGTCGACACCTGTGAATCAAAATAAAGACGACATTTCTTAACAATCTTATTCCAGGCGAATATACTGGGTGTTCATCCAACTGTTCCAATGACCCAGGCTGCTGACGGAAGTATTTACGAGCCTATTCTACCTCCCAAGGTATGTTAGCTTTAAGTTAATTTACTTTAATAGTATGTTAATTTTTAAATCACCCTCTATGATAGCAATGCTTATACACTTGAAACCTTAATCTTATCAAAAATTTGTTCAATAATGTCGATTTTCTTACTCGAAAAGTTTTAATTTCTTTGAATTTCTAAATTGTTTTCATAAGCAAGAAATGTGCGAGTCATTTTTGCAGAGGAACTACAAATGAAAATAAACAGTTTAAGAAATAAGAACATGCATATCTAATTCATACTTGATCTGACAGAGGGTACCATTGTAAATCGGGCATTGCCATCTTTGTATGGAGGGTAACTAAGAGGAGTGTTTAATTCTGTAAATGTGACCTTTGCATAAAAAGACATAAATGATTTGAAACCGTACCCTTTAAATATTTATTTAAAACAGATTGTGGAAGATATCTTCGTTTAAGTTTTAGAAGTGCTTTATTCTGACAGTTTCCTGCTAATTGTTTCTATAGCAGAAGATGTACGTGAGCCTTTAAAAAGAAGCCACATTTGCAACCATTTACTTTTCATTGGGAGGTTGTTTGCATTTTCTTGCTTTCTTTGATCAGATAATTAGGGTATCATTGTGAATCAGACATGTTAATCTATACGATGAAGAGTAATTTGACGGATTCAAACCCTTAAATCCTGATTTTACTCGATTTATCATGTTGTTTGTTTAGGGAATTGCAGGTCCAAACTCATTGCACTTCAAGACTCTATCCAATGGGTCAACCGACAGTGACTATTTTGGATCCTGTATTGCCTGTGGGGGCAAAATAATAGGTAGGGAAAACATTCATATGAACCTTGAATTGCCTGCGGTGGCTAACTAATTTGTAGGCAAATACTTTTATTTTTGGATCTTGAATTGCCTGCGGTGGCAAAATAATTGGTAGGCAAATACGTTAATTTTGAATATTGTATTGCTTGTTGTGGCAAAATAATAGGTAGGCAAATACATTTATTTTTGGATCTTGTATTGCCTGAGGTGGCAAAAAAAATTGGAAGGCAGAAACGTTCGTTTTTGGACCTTGAATTGCCTTAGGTGGTTAAATGATAGGTAGGCAAATACATTCGTTTTTGGATCTTGTATTGCCTGGGGGGGCAAAATAATTGGTAGGCAAACTGGATCTTGTATTGCCTGCGGTGGCAAATTAATTGTTTGGCATATAAGTAAATTTTTGATCTTGTATTGCCTGCGGTGGCAAAATAATAGGTAGGCAAACATTTTCATTTTTGAATCATGCATTGTCTGAGGTGGCAAAATAATAGGTAGACAAATATCATTTTTGGATCTTGTATTATCTATGGTGGCAAAATAAGAGGTAGGCAAATACATAATTTTTTGGATCTTGAATTGCCTGCGTTAGGCAAATACAATCATTTTTGGATCTTGTATTGCCTGCGGTGGCAAAATGAATGGTAGGCAAATACATTCATATTTGGGTCTTGAACTACCTGCGGTGGCAAAATTGAATGAATTGCTTGCAAGGGGTTGGTTAGTAGGGAGGCACTCAAAATTGTTACGTTTTTCAACGAATTAAGGGTTTCATAAAATTACTTGAACAATCCCATTATGCATTAAAGGGAGTTGCTGGCTAGTTGAGCTCAGAATGCAGTAATCATTTTAATCATTTGCGACCTTTTAGACGTTTGTATGGTGTATAATCATTCAGAGAGAGTGAAAGTTCAGTTATTCAAATCCCCCTTAATTATCCAACCGGCCAGGCAGGCGTGCAGGGTCACAGCCTCGCAAGTAGGCGTGCTGCGCCCGGCATGTCTACGGTGAATGATTATACACCGTACAAACGTCTGATTGGTCTCAGATGATATCTAAAAATGCCTTACAATAGTGCATTTTCAGCTCAACTACCATGTCTAGCCAGACACTCCCTTTAATATAAGTTAAATATGTACAGGAGAAGGAGCTGGTTGCAGTGCAATGGGACGGCTGTACCATGTACAGTGCTTTACATGTTCCGAGTGTGGTCGATTACTGCAGGTTGAAAATTGTGTAAATACGTATTTTTTAATATCTTATGAAATTAGACTTATAGCTTCCCGAATTGTTCAGTCTATATAAAATTACCCCGCCCAAGGCTATAATGCAAGGAAAGTTAATTGCAGTTGCGTATACTCTGCGTACATATTGAAACCAGTTCTCTCTGGGCGGAATTTGTAAACAAGAATAGATGCATGTGAAAGATGGATCCCATGTCAAGCTGTGATATCCGTCTTGTGTTTACATTACCGCCCAGAGACAGTACACTGCACTACAAAGATGCGTACACCTATGAAATAACTTTCCTTGCATTATAACCTTGCCCCAACCCATTTCCTATGCATGAAACAAATTTGCTAGCTACAATTGTTCATTTCTTAATATACTTTTTACCAAAAATTCATTAATTCTCCTTAAGTTCATCTATTTTCAACTTAAAATCCTACCTAGCATCTGGGGGGAAAGCCATTTTTCGAATAAGTGGATGAAAAAAAATTATTTAAAAAAATGTATATTCCTGAAATGCAGTAAACATATGTTCTAGGGCCTACCCTTCTATGCTGTTGAAGGTGCTCCTCTATGCGAGGCTGATTATACGAATACTCTGGAACAATGCTGTAAATGCTTTCAACCTATCCTAGAGAGAATACTTCGCGCTACAGGAACAAATTCATTCTAAGCAATGTATACAGTTAGACCTATCACTGCAAATAAGGATGTGCACGCTCTAACAAAAAAAATCGACCAGTATTTTGCCAATTACTCCATTTAAGCTCCATTTTAAAATGTTTATCTCTAGGCCAAACAAAAAGTATTTGTGAGTTGGCGTAGTTAAACCAAAGGCCAACTCACAACCCTTCAACCAATTTAGATCAAATTTGACTGGGGAACTCTGTTAAAACCACGGGATTGTGCTTAGAACGGTGTCAACATTTTCCTTGATTGGTTTGACTTTAATAAAGCAAGTTTATTTTCCAGTCAAAGCTGGATTCAACTACCCATATGCGACTCCATTTTTAATATTATTTAAAACTATTCGTGCCACACAGACTCACAGTTAAACATTATTACATTATATTTGGCTATGTATTGAATCCGATAAGAATGTGGTATAATACATTATGTAAAAACACATCAAGCGTGGTAATTTTCTGGAAATTATTTTGTAAATAAAGAGTGAATTTGAATTTTAGGAAAACCGTATCATCCAAACTGTTTTACGTGTGTAGCATGCCATAAAAGCTTAGGTAATTGACCAATTAATTTATTAAAAGGACTGTCATTAAACTTCTAAGTGACAATCCAAAAGTATAATTCCGAAATCTGCAAATCACTTTGTTGACAACAATTGAAAAGATAACAATACAGATATTGCATGTACTCTCAGACAACGCTTAAATGGGTACTGTTTTCAATCTGATATGCCACTCTATAAATGAGGGGTCGCTTGTAATTACATCTGCAGTCCCCTTTTAAGCTTTTACAAACTATTCTAACCTTTTTTATCCAACCATTATGTTTTGTACAGATGGAATACCGTTTACCGTTGATGCGACCAATCAGATTCATTGTATTGATGACTTCCACAGGAAGTTTGCTCCTAGATGCAGTGTTTGCCAGGTATTATTATTATTCGAATAATTATTCTTAAAGAGAGTGACCGGCTATGTAAGGTAGTTGAACTGAGTATACAGTGTTGTGGAAAAAAAACTAATTCTGAAAACGTATCCTCCTCCAAAGTAGGAGTTTTCAATGTCGAATCTTTAAAAAGTTTAATATGTCTCAAATGAATCCGAAAGAAGTTTTCACCAACACTGCATACTCAGTTCAACTACCTTACATAGCCAGTCACTCCCTTTAATGATGAGAATATGATGATCTTTCATATTTCTCCTGTTCATCGCTTCTCTATTTTTCCCTCTTTTCAGTCCATTTTGTTTGCCAATTGATTGTCTATTTGGGTCTTCTTTCTTAAATTTATAGAAAACTAAAAAATAAGATATTAAAGATTATAATATTTTTTGACCCGAAACCCATCCATATCAAACTCTTTTCCTATTTTAGGAACCGATAATGCCAACGCCAGGTCAGGAGGAGACTGTCCGTGTGGTAGCTCTAGACCGGAGCTTCCATCTGCAATGCTACAGGTACCAATGGTCAAGTAGATATATATATAAACATTTCCTTGGTCTTTTAAGTGTGTATTAAAAATTCTTTTTTTCTGAAAAATCAGGGCAGGGGTTCTTTAATAAATGGAAATCCGAACAAGGTCCGGCATTTTGAAATAAAAAAGCAAACCATATTTTAGAAAAACCAGGGCCTGGTTTATTTTATGATTTTTGGTTCTAGAATTATATGAAAAACATGGGAATTGAGTGAAAAAATCAATATCGTCTTTGTTTGAAATTGGCATTGTAATTCCTGATTTCAAAAGTCATGGTTTGATTATGTTTCATAGAGTTATTTATATGAAAACGGTAAAGGCTGTTTGATGTGTCTGTAATGTCTCTGTAAGATGAACAGTGAAGACGGACAAGTTTACTAAGTTCGTGTACAGCAATTTTCTTGCTTACTCTAGTCTATACATCTATATGCAACCAAAATATAAACAAACAAATTCTAGACTCCAGCAGACGAAAATCCTTCAGAACACAGCTTTTTCAATAGGGTTCACTATGCTAAATCAAAGATTATTTAAAAAGAACATATCGAAATCGTCAACTCAATTCCCATTTTTATTGTTACACACTGTATTTACTAATAATATTTTTCTTGTTTTTCTAGATGTGTGGACTGCAACCTAGTGTTATCAAGCGAAAGCGAGGGAAGGGGTTGTTATCCCCTGGACAATACAGTGCTTTGTAGGCAGTGTAATACAAGAAGAATACAAGCCCTTACTTCTAGTATTCCACAGCAATAAGAATACAGTGTTTTGTAGGCAGTGTAATACAATAAGAATACAAGCCCTTACTTCTAGTATTCCACAGCAATAAGAATACAGTGCTTTGTAGGCAGTGTAATACAAGAAGAATACAAGCCCTTACTTCTAGTATTCCACATCAATAAGAATACAGTGCTTTGTAGGCAGTGTAATACACGAAAAATACAAGCCCTTACTTCTAGTATTACACAGCAATAAGAACACAGTGCTTTGTAGGCAGTGTAGTACAAGAAGAATACAAGCCCTTACTTCTAGTATTCCACAGCAATAAGAATACAGTCCTTTATATACATTGTAATACAAAAATACAGGCAATAGCTTCTAGTAGTCCACAACAATAGGAATACAGTGCTAAAAGCACTAGGCAGTGTAATCAAAATGGGCAGTGTAATACAAGAAGAGCCCTTATTTCTAGTATTTCATAGCAAAAAAAAAATACAGTGCTTTATATACATTTTAATACGAGAATACAGGCACTAGCTTCTGGTATTCCACAACAATGGGAATACAATGCTTTTTAGGCAGTGTAATACAAGAAGAATACAAGCCCTTATTTCTAGTATTCCACAGCAATAAGAATACAGTGCTTTATTTACATTGTAATAAAAGAATACAGGCACTAGCTTTTAGTATTCCAGAGCAATGGGATTACATTGCTTTGTATTCTGTGTAATACAAGTAAATGTTAAAAGCTTCTAGTATTCCAAAAAAGTAAGAACACAGTGCTCTGTATTCTGTGTAATACAAGCAAAAATAACTTGTTATTAGTTTTCCAAAAAAAAATAGGAATCGAGATTTTTTTTACTTCAAGATGACCTGCAGGTCAGGTCATGGTACTTTGTCAGTTGATTGTGATAAATTACAAATTACAAATTACAAAAAAACTTGTTCGAACTTCAACATTCCTCTACTCGGTGGAGATGGCGCAATGCTGTTATTTTATTCCATTTTAATTATGTTTTGCTGAAGTTTTGTCTTCCTGGAAAAATCTCATAATATAATCTCTATTTACACATCTTGCAGCATTTATCAGATCTGATGCTATATTTATCGCATTAAAACTATTTTACGTTGTGTTTTTATTTATTGTTTTGTTTTTTGACAAAAATTCCAATTGCATTTCGTTCAATTAATTGTTTGTTTAGCTTTGTTTCTATATTAATTTGTGCTTACAATTAGTTAATTAAACTATGTACAAATAACCTACAATTTTTACCCTACCTTTGGCGTTGCAGCATTTTATATTAGACACATTTTTTTCTTTAAATATTATATTTTTCTATTGTTTAGAAAATTGAATTTAAAATGGCTGACGGGGGATGGAGTTCTAGACGTGGACCAGTGAAGGACGAATCAAGTGAGAAAACAAAGCATAGAGAAGTTAAAGGAAAAGATATTGCAACACAAAACCATGATAAACCATTGGTTAGAAGAGAAAGAATGAAAGCTAGTGAGGCTCGTAATCCGGAGAAAATAAACGGACAGAATTTGATGAAAACTAAAGAAAACAGCAACAAGGATAATCCTTGGTCCCAGTCTAGTGATAGAAAAGAAGGAATATCGTTTGCCGAGATGTTGAAGAGGAATTATCCATCAATTGAGAAACCGGTTTTAACTCCTGACAGTTCTAGGTCTAAACTAGCTACGGGATCCAGGCCCAAGAGATTGAACAATGATAGGTACGGGGGGGGAGGGGCATTCAAAATATTTGATTTAAACCAATGGAACCAAATAATAACAATATGCAATATACATGTTACAAGTTGTTTTATCAAATCATTTTTATCGAGAAGCGCCCAGTTCGCAAAATCAAAACTTGTGGTTTATCGAAAATCCAAACAGTTTTTTTTATCAATTGAATCCTTAATCAAAAGTATTTTGAATTTTAAGAAAATGTCCGAATAGTGAAATAAAATTTTTGTTTAGATCAGTAAATAAACCACGCAGTCACACCAACAGAATATCGGCAGATTCCTTTGCACGAATCGGACAGACTACGAATGATGAGATGTATGTGATGGGGTCGGCGGAGAATGATGGGTCGGAGAGAGACCGCAGGGGCGGCGATAAAACTCAGAAGCCTGCAGAGTTAGGGACCAGGGTTTCTTGCATTGTTTTTGCTCTTTATTTTGTTAATCCCCCAAAAAAATAAAATTCATTGTTTTTCGTTCCATTTTCTGAAGAAGACTGAAAGTTTAGCCTAAGAGTGTGAGGAATCCCCCCCCCACACTCCCCTTTTAGAAAAATACGTTCAGCCATAGTTGCCAAATTTTTTGAACACCTGATATCGGAACCTTGTTGTTCAAATCTTGATATCTAATGTGGGCACTTTAAAATCTGATGATCAATGCTTGATCCCATTATTGAAGTTATCCCTGCAGGGTTTGGCCATCACGGAATATTGAAGAAGAATTAAATTTACCTGTATATCGCATAACATGGCGATCTTAGCTAGATTCAGAGATTCACAACACCAAAGTTCTGATTACTGCTACAATTTTATCCTTTGTTAATCGTTCATTTTTTTTACCAAAGACTAATAATTTTATAAGATTTATTTCACTTTTTTCCGGATCAAATATTTGAATAAATATGAATGTAAAACCTGGTTGCAGAGGTTGAGTTTGTAGCTGGTGCTCTGGAGCCAGATGATGTTCTTATAGAGTTTGTAGAATCTAAACCTGTAGACAGAACTCTTAATAAAATATCATTCCTCACATACAGGTCTTCAATACACGCCAATTAAAGGGGCTGAAAACTTTATTAAGTTACTAGCTTGGGAACCCAGCGTGGACCAGGGAGTCATAGTTAGTCCCACCGTTTACACACCCCTTGTCGTAAATTAAGATTTTAGGCATTTTTCTCGATAAATGTCGACCCACTTAACTGAGAATCTCAAAACCAAGCTAATGGTATTTACGAGATCCCCAATAATAATTAGAGGCAAATCGGACAAACAAAGACACCCAGACAGACAAACATAGATTATACTTTATATATATAGAATTTTGATAGTGTGTCATGAATTACAGTGATATTCACAAAGAAGTGAAATTAAATAAGAACAGGGGCGGACACAAGATTTTAGTGAGGGGGGGGAGCAAGATTTTTCAGGAACAAAAAAAATTGATAATTAGGAACAAAATTAAAGGATTAGGACAGGGATTTAGGAACAATAAAAAGATTGTTCAGGAATTAGGAACAAAATTAAAGTGCTGGATCTCCAGGCATCGTGACGCTGAAAAATAACACTGTCGAACTAGTTTTTCGTTTACTGTAAGAGCCTGTGAATAAAACAGGGAGGCAGGCTTACTTTTCAGTCGAAAATAAAGCTAGTAAAAAAAATTTGACTCAAAACACGGAGTTTTTATGTTTATGAAAATCTGTACAACTTGGTGGGTTGTTTCACTTTTAGGACTTAAGAAAACGTATTCAAAAATGTCCGGGGTCACCAATTTGGCGATCAGCTAAATAAACTCCGAAAGGTTCAAGATTAACTAACTATATATTTATATCTAAATTACATGGGTAAAAAGTCTGGTGAAATATGTGGCTCAGGAAACTCCCCTTAGCTTCTCAGCTGCCGCAGAGAATTATCCAAGAAGGACGACTTTCATAACCGCCACAACATTATACAAAGCAGATAGAAAAATTTTGCTATGTTTCTATTGCTTTATTAACTGTAAGAGAAAGTGACTTTTTTATATCTTTTCGTTTTTTTCAATTATAAATTGTATTTTAGAAGAAAACGTTGTAAAGCAGCCTGTTCTAGCGGATATACATGATATGATTCGGGTAACAAGTTTATTTTACAAATGATTAATGTACTTTATATTTTGATTTTGATTTTGATTTTATAAATACACTTCCAAGGGAAACCGATTTCAAGAGTAACTGACAGCTATAGGAAACTGACCTATAGGAAACTGACCTATAGGAAGCTGACTTACTGGAACCCAAATTAAGGGAAACTGACCGAAGAGTAACTGACCTATAGAAAACTGACCTATAGGAAACTGACCTATAGGAAACTGACCTATAGGAAACTGACTTATAGGAAACTGACCTATAGGAAACTGACCTATAGGAAACTGAATTATAGGAAACTGACCTATAGGAAACTGACCTTTAGGAAACTGACTTATAGGAAACTGACTTAAAGGAAACTGACTTATAAGAAACTGACTTATAGGAAACTGACTTATAGGAAACTGATCTTTATGAACCCTAATTAAGGGAAACTGACCCAAGAGTAACTGACCTATAGGAAACTGACCTATAGGAAACTGACCTATAGGAAGCTGACTTATGGGAGCCCGAATTAAGGGAAATTGACCCAAGAGTAACTGACCTATAGAAAACTGACCTACGGGAAACTGAATTAAGGGAAACTGGCCCAAGAATAACTGACCTTTGGAAAACCGACCTATAGGAAACTAAAGTATGGAAAACGAACCCACCGAAAGTAAACCGGACTTAAATATAAGCTTATCCGACTAAGTGAAACCGGATCTCTCATCAAAACCGACCTTAGGAAACTGCAAAGTTAAACCGACCTTAAAACTAGATCTTTATAAAGTGAACCTTTTTTTAGGAGAAAACTAAAGCAAAGATTGAATTAACAACGGTTGAGCGAGAAATTTTGCGGCAAAAACGGCGGGAACGGAGGAGAAGGGAGAAGGAGGGGAAGAAAAGGGAAAGAGAAGAGAAGCAAAGAGTTGAACTTGTTTCCAACCGAGGAGTTAAAATAGGTTTCATCTCTACCGCAGTTCTAAACCAGGTTTCAGGTAGGAATCGTTTGACAACTATGCAGCCCCATTTTTGGTGAAAAATCCTCCTTCAGAGATTTTTAAAAGAGTTCACAACATGTAAAGAATTTTGGTATTTAAAAAAAAAAATTTAAGTTAATCCTGAAATTGCGTTATAAAATTACCATTTTTTTTGGTTTTTTAATTTTACTTAATATTTAATCGTTTCTTTGTAGCTAGAATCCTAAAAAACCTGCCATTCGGATGGTCTGCAAAATAAAGGGCAAACTCAGACTTAATTATAATGTGTATAGTGTGTGTTGTATTGATTTTCACGGAATTCTAGTTGATAGTTTATTATTATAATAACGTTGNTATATATATAATATATATAATATATATGTAAGTTATAGCTGGCCAACGACTTTTTTATTTCCGGAATTGTTTTTCAAAACTCGATTTTTTTAATTCACAGGCAACGCCTGGCACTTCAGTTAGTGTATTCAAATAGCTCTTTAGACGAAGGAAGAGAAAAATTCAAAAAATCAAAAATTTTGATTTCTACAACTATATAAATTTTTATTATAGTGGAGCAGCTAAGAAGAATGCTGCAACTTATGTGATGAGTGAACGTCCCTCTTCCTGGAGTAAAATAGTCGGTAAGCGACAAGGAGACGAAATAAATATCGTTTTTGGCCCAAATTGGAATCCTATCCTTAATCCTTCTCTTACTTTTCAAAAACTTTTGATTTATTTTCAACAAGGACCTGTAGTTTTGAAACATCTATAAATGTTGATTATATTTAAATTGTTTTTTTTTTTAAAGAGACTGCTTTATAAGTGAATCGACCCTCCAGTAAATGGGGGATTTGTCCGATTTACTGCGATACCCTTTAAACCTTAATCTGATCAATAATATGGAAAATATCGTCATTTTTACTCTCACAATTTCTGTTTTCAGAAACCCAAAAGTAACTTTAGAGAAACTGCAATTAAAAATATTCAATTTGCGGAACGAAGAACAGAAATAATTAAATCATTTTTTCTCAGATAAAGGTTTAAGTGGTACCGTAGTGTATCGGACTTCACTTGAAATTATGGCTAGTGTCCCTTTAAAACAGTCGGATCCGGATCCAAGAGGCAAAATGTCAACCAAAAATTGAAGAAAAAAGAACATGTTTACTCTCAAAATAAAAATCATAGTAAAAAGAGAGATTTTTTAAAATTTCCAGATTTCTGAATGTTACATCAAGCTTTAACATAAAAATAAGAGAAAAAAAGACAATAATTTGAAAATTCTGCTTTGTTAACACGATTCAGAAAAATTTTAAAGAAATAACCTGGATCCGGATCTAGTGCGGATCCAGGATCCGAATCCGGATTCGCATCAAAATTAAATAGATCCTAAGCACTGCTTTAAAATTTAAAGCTGACATTTTGGCGATCAGCTAAATAAACTCCGAGAGGTTCAAGATTAACTAACTATATATTTATATCTAAATTACATGATTAAAAAGTCTGGTGAAATATGTGGCTCAGGAAACTCCCCTTAGCTTCTCAGCTGCCGCGGAGAATTCTCCAAGAAGGACAACTTTCATAACTGCCACAGTAGTCCCCCCAGAAGGAACGGCGGAGAGGTGGCGGAGCTGATTCTTCTATCCCTTGAATACCTGTAAGGATTCCGACGTGCAGGTGCAGGTGGAGGATGAACTCGAGGAGTAAGTTGAAACCTGACTTTCTTGGGTATTCTTGGGGCGGAGGATGGCGAAGGATGGCGGAGGATCCGAAGAATTTGCTACTGGATGACGGTTGGGTCTTCCTCGAGGCGGAGGAAGAGCAGGAGTGACCGGAGCATCACTGAACACAGGTTTCAGCCGATCAACAGAAACCACATCTTGTTTGGAACCAATCTGGAGGCGGAAGAATTTGCTCCGCCTTTCTAAAACCAGGTAAGGCCCGCGATAACAAGGAGCCAGAGTAGGTATGACTGCATCCTCGCGAACAAACACGAACTTAGCTTTCAAGAGTGCTGCAGGTAGCTGAGACGGAGGAACTGTATGAACATCATGAGGCGGAGGAACGGCGAAACCATCAATGGCTCTTTCAACCTTCCTCAGGAATGACTCAGGTGGAAGTTCCGGAACATCCAGAAGTTCACCAGGCAAAGTTAAAGGAGAACCATAGACAGCCTCTGAGACTTAGAGGCCAGTATCATCCTTCGGAGTAGCTCTCAAACCCAAGAGAACCAAAGGAAGGTGAGAAAACCAGTCCGAACCTGCTAACCTGGCCCGAAGAGAGGATTTTAAACTTCTATGGAATCTCTCAACCATACCGTTACTTTGAGGATGGAAGGAGGTTGTAGTAAAGGGTGAAATCCCTAAAACAGAACAGACTCCATTCCAGATTGAAGATGTGAACTGGGAACCTCTGTCTGATGTGAGAACCGCAGGAACTCCGAACCTTGATATCCAGGTTGAGATAAAAGCACGTACACAGGACTCAGCGGAGATAGAGGATAACGGAACAACCTCAGGCCATCTTGTAGTCTTGTCTATCATGGTTAGAACATAAGAATGGCCTTGACTGGAGGGTAGAGGACCCACAATATCAACATGAACGTGAGAAAACCTTTGGGTTGGAACTGGAATAGATGGAACAGTAGAGTGCAAGTGAGTTGAAATTTTGGATTTTTGGCAAGGAATACAGGACTTTGTCCACAAACCGACATCCCGAGACATTCCTGGCCAGACAAATCTTGATGTGATCAATTTCCTGGATGCTCTGACACCTGGGTGAGACACACCATGTAGCTGATCAAACAGTTTACGACGTAGTTGAAGAGGAACCAGAGGGCGAAGAGAACCGGTTGAAACATCACACAGAACTTCTCCTGAACTCAGAGGATGAACAATTACTGATAGAGAAGGGTTTGATTTCATTTCTTGTATGGACGAACAGGTAATTTGGAACCTGGATAAACTTGAAGCGTCCAAACCCTTAAAAACTGGTTCACTTGAAGAATCTCCGCCCGGAGCTGGGACCAAGGCGGATGTAAAATCCTTTTATCACTAGTTAGAAACAATGTAGGCAAAGAAACCTCCGTTGTCTCCGACACCTCCGACACCACAGGAGACAGGGAACCAGGGGTTGGAAAGGTGTGAGGCTTAACAGGCTTAGACGGAGATTGGAAAGAACTTGGAGCAGGGTTTGAATTGGAGCAAGGTTTAGTTGGACTCGGAGAAACTGAGTTAACAATACGAGTTGCTTAAATAAATATTTATATCATGAATATGACCTGCAATATTTTTTCTTTGCATTTAAATTTTGTATTGTTTAACTAAAATCTATTTGAAAACCAGAACGCCGAGTTGAGAACCTAGATAAAGTATCTATTTACTACTGTTTAACTTCTAACCTAGATAAAGTATCTATTTACTACTGTCTATGTTAAGAAGGTGACCTGCCTAATACTAGCTTCTAACTTAGATAAAGTATCTATATACTACTGTCCAGGTTAAGAAGGTGACCTGCGTGATACTAGCTCCTGACCTAGAAAGAATATCCAGTGAAGGAGGGCTGGATTCAGCAGTTGATAATATTATTCGTAAGTATCAATAGCATGAAAATCATGAAAATCATTTGTTTTCTCTAGAAGCTAGATATATTTGCGCGGAGCGTCAAATTTTTTTGTGGAAAACTAATGAAATTTTGGTGAAAAAATATTAATAAGGATGAAAAATCTTGCTTTTTTATGTCTTAACTGTTAATTTTGTTTTTTCCCCCACCCTTCACACTGAAGAGGATGGCTATACAAAATTTTAATTTAATCCAGTCTGTTTTGTTGAACTGCACTATTTATCTTGTAGGTTTCGGTAATTGAATCAAATTTATACGTATTCCTTTAAACTATGCTTGTATATTAACTTTTCTGTACATGTTCCTAAAAACTACCTTTATATATATTCTGAGCCCGCGATTTAAAAACTTCGGCTCGAACCGTAATTCCTTGAACACAACTTTAAGACCCAATCTTCGACCCAACTCTGACGACAGCTTGTGTTGCTTGATTGAAAGCTAGATATTCGGCTGGACTGAAGAAGTTAGGCCCAATATAAATAAAACCGACCAGTGGCGTACGAGGGGGGGCCGCTCCCCCCGCCCCCCGTTACGCGTGCCCCCCCTGAGAGGCTGAGGGGGGAACCTTCGGGGGAGGCTCTTTTAATATTACATCTGCTTGCATTTCCCTTCCTCAGGCCAGGCCAAGTGGCGTACCTAGGGGGGGCAGTAGTCCTCTTGCCCCACTTGGGAGTTCCAGGCGGGGCCCTGCCCCCCCTGGAAAATACAAAATTAGAAGGAAACTACGTTTAAAAAGTAACACCTGACAATGACAAAGACTAAGGATTTGTCTAAATTCACTGTTAATACAAGGAGAGAAAAGTTTTAGCCTTCTAAAGAGAATCCGAAAGCTCAAGCCGTAAATAAGGCCCAACGATTAACGACAGCTTAGGCCCGAGCCGTATTTCCCCGAATTTTTTAATCGAGGGCTCTGTATACGTTTATAGTTGAAAGAAACTAATTCCTATTTCCAATGGTCGCGTCATAGCAAAAAACCCGCAGAGGCGATCAGCTATAATAATGAACTAAATATCTTCAGGGGTCTATATAATTCCATCTGATCAATGTCAAATGTTGATTGATTGATATTAGGAAGCATGTTGTTATTGTAAACAATTGGAAGTATAATGTCAAGTTGTAGAAAAAATCCATACTGCAGAATGTTTACTACAAGGGAGTGTTTATTTTTCTGTATATCATAATTTATCTCTTATATTAAATACTAATATTTTCATCTTTCAACACTCCACATGCAGTACACATTTCTGAAGTGTAGTACACATACACAAAAGCTTGTCAAAGTTCACAATGACATATAAAGTGTACTTTCATGCCCCTAAATGTAATTTCCACTCCGATCCCATTTGGGATCAGAAATGGAATTAAATGGACCCCTACATATCTTCTCTGTGCACGTTTTTAAGAATATTCATGTACAGGTGTGTGTAAAGAGCAGAGTGTACAGGTAGTGTACTCCCTAGGGAGGTACAAGCTAGGACGTGTCTGCCTACGGATTATATAAATTTTTATTATAGTGGAGCAGCTAAGAAGAATGCTGCAACTTATGTGATGAGTGAACGTCCCTCTTCCTGGAGTAAAATAGTCGGTAACGGACTGGGAGACGAAACTAAATGTCGTTTTTGGCCCATATCTGACCAATAATGGGGAAAATATTGGCATTTTTACTAAACCCGAAAGTAACTTTAGAGAAACTGCAATTGAAAATATTCAATTTGCGAAACGAAGAACAGAAATAATTCAATCATTTTTCTCAGGCAAAGATTTAATTGGTACTGTCGTGTATCGAACATCACTTGAAATTATGGCTAGTGTCCCTTTAAAGCAGTCGGATCCGGATCCAAGGGCAAAATATCAACCAAAATTGAAGAAAAGAACATGTTTACTCTTCCAAATAAGAACTATTGTAAAAAGAGAGAGTATAAAAATTTCCTGACAGAAAAATTTTAAAGAAATAACCTGGATCCGGATCCGTTTTTTTCCAGTGCGGATCCAGGATCCGGATCCGGATTCGCATCCCCTAATTGTATCTTAAGTCTTATCAAATCTAAATGGATCCTAAGCACTGCTTTTAAGTACATCTTGGTAGACTTTAAAGCTGAGATTATACTAAGCAGATGGCAAAATTTTGCTATTTGTCTATTTCTTTATTAACTGTAAGAAAGTGACGTTTTTATCTCTTTTCGTTTTTTTCTATTATAAATTGTATTTTAGAAGAAAACGTTGTAAAGCAGCCTGTTCTTGCGGATATACATGATATGATTCGGGTAACTAGAAATTTTATCTTACAATGATTAATGTACTTTATATTTTGATTTTGATTTTATAATTACACTTCCAAGGGAAACCGATTTCAAGAATAATTGACCTATAGGAAACTGACCTATAGGAAACTGACCTATAGGAAACTGACTTAAAGGAAACTGACCTATAAGAAACTGACATATAGGAAACTGACCTATATTAAACCTACCTATAGGAAACTGACCTATAGGAAACTGACCTATAGGAAACTGACCTATAGGAAATTGACCTATAGGAAACTGACCTATATTAAACCTACCTATAGGAAACTGACCTATAGGAAACTGACCTATAGGAAACTGACCTATAGGAAATTGACCTATAGGAAACTGACCTATAGGAAACTGACCTATAGGAAACTGGCCTATAGGAAACTGACCAATAGGAAACTGACCTATAGGAAACTGGCCTATAGGAAACTGACCTTTGGGAAACTGACTTATAGGAAACTGACCTATATTAAACTGACCTATAGGAAACTGACCTATAGGAAACTGGCCTATAGGAAAATGACCTATAGGAAAATGACCAATAGGAACCCAAATTAAGGGAAACTGACCCAAGAGTAACTCACCTATAAGAAAATAACCTTTTGAAAACTGAACTATAGGAAACTGACAAACGGGAACCCGAATTAAGAGAAACTGACCGAAGAGTAACTCGCCTATAGGAAACTGACCTATAGGAAACTGACCTATAGGAAACTTGACCTATAGGAAACTTGACCTGTATGAAACTTACCTACGGGAAACCGAAGTAAGGGAAACTGACCTAAGAGTAACTGACCTACAGAAAACTTACCAACGGGAACCGTATTAAGAGAAACTCACCCAGGAATAACTGACCTATGGGAAACAGACCTATAGGAAACTAAAATATGGAAAACCAACCTATAGGGGAAATCCACCGAAAATAAACCGGACGTAAATTTAAGCTTATCCGACTAAGTGAAACCGGATCTTTAATCAAAATCGACCTTTGGGAAACTGTGCTAAGTTAAACCGACCTAAAAGCTAGATCTTTATAAAGTGAACCTCATTTTTAGGAGAAAACTAAAGCAAAGATTGAATTAACAACGGTTGAGCGAGAAATTTTGCGGCAAAAACGGCGGGAACGGAGGAGAAGGGAGAAGGAGGGGAAGAAAAGGGAAAGAGAAGAGAAGCAAAGAGTTGAACTTGTTTCCAACCGAGGAGTTAAACTAGGTTTCATCTCTACAGCAGTTCTAAACCAGGTTTCAGGTAGGAATCGTTTGAAAACCATGCACTAGGCTCATTTTTGGTTAAAAATCCCCCTTCAGAGATATTTAAAAATTTAACAAAATGTAAAGAATTTTGGTATTTAAAAAAAAAAATTTAAGTTAATCCTGAAATTGCGTTATAAAATTACCATTTTTTTTGGTTTTTTAATTTTACTTAATATTTAATCGTTTCTTTGTAGCTAGAATCCTAAAAAACCTGCCATTCGGATGGTCTGCAAAATAAAGGGCAAACTCAGACTTAATTATAATGTGTATAGTGTGTGTTGTATTGATTTTCACGGAATTCTAGTTGATAGTTTATTATTATAATAACGTTGTTTCAATGAGACCTCTAATATAGTTTTGATGGGCTAGGATCAGTTTTTGGTCTTCTTCCTTTCCCATTCTTCTCTTACCTGGTGGTGAATACTTGTTAATATTCTAGGAGGGCCTAGAACTAGTCGAGAGGATGGATCTAGGAAAACTCTAGAAGGGCCGAGAACTAGACGATATGACGGATCTAGAAATATCCGGTTCAAGGACGAGGAGTATCCATCTCTTGGTGCCGAATCTAGAAAAACTGGTTAGTTTTTAAAAGGACTGTTCTCAAACAATTGTGACAAAGCTGCCTCCCATTTTTTGGACTTAGTTGTTTTTCCCAGATACTTTGATCAATGAGAAAATAAAACCAGTCAATTGCTAATCATTTATCACTGTTACTTGCATGGTGAAAAATTGACAATTTTACACAATGTGACATTTTAAAAATAGTACATAATTTTACATAACTACGTAGTACGTAAACATTTTGATTTCAACATAATATTACCCAAATTTTAATAATTTTACACACATATATAGTTTTTAAATAATTTTGCATATTTGATCATTATTTTACAGTATTTAAATGATTTTGCACATTTTACCATAATTTTACACCACTCTATAAATATTACTCCATATAATTTTACATAATTTTAATTAATATTTCACATTAGTTACTTAATTTTACATACTTTATATAACTTTGCATATGTTTGCTTATTTTGCATTATATCCGACAAAATTTTCCTTAATTCTACGGTTTAGAAACTGTGGACCAACGCGTGGTTCGAACCTTCGAAGGAGGACATCTCTCAGATACTGGCTCTGAATGGGAGACTGATGTTTCAGAGATACATGATCAGGTTCTTAAACATCTAATTCCCTAGGTTGTTTTTCTAAAATAATCTTCCCAATTCCCAAAAGAATCTGACCCCTGTGTTAAAGTCAATATGCACAACGTGGAAGAAGCCCAGTAGTTTGGAAAAGTGTAAAACTGACTTTTGAGAGAGCCTTTGTAAATAAGAAAATAGTACAAGAAACAAATCAAAAATAAAAAAAAATATGATGAAATGACTGGCATGCATGCTTTCTCTGTGCTATCATTATTTACTTATTTTATATATAATAATCTACCCATTGACCATAGAGTTGGCGAGTTTGACTCTTAATTTTCAGGAGATTTCCGAGGATTCAGACTCTCATATCCCTGAGGTTCAGATTCAGGCCAGCTCAGCTGAACCTCTTTCCTATTCATCTATCCTGAGACGACGAGATAAATCCTCCAATCCTGGCGAACTACCATCTGGAAAATCTGCGAAAACTGCACCTAAGTTGGAAATAAAAGCCGAACAAGAGGTTGTCAAGAAAAAAGTGAAAACCAAAACTCCATTTGAAATTGACATCTTTGAAGCCTTATTAAAAAAGAAGGTAATGAAGAAAAGAAATAAAATTATAAAAATATTTTGTTAAATATGTTCTTTTTTTCTTCAGGAGCCTAAGGGGAAAAAAGACAAGAACAAGCCTGTTCTGGGCGGAAAGATTAAGAAGGATGAAAGGGTGGTGAGGAATCAACTTGACAGTTCTGCACCTACCAAGAAGAGGGGGAAGGAGAGGGAAGGCGGGAAGAAGAAGAAGAACACGCTTATGAAGAAGATTATTTTAACGGAGAAGGCAGAACGGCGAAGAAGAAGAGAAGAAGCCGAGATGAGACGGATTGAGAGAATACAGGTTTGTTTTTATTCATCATTAATCAAAGTTGATCTTTTACATCTATGTAAATAAAGGGGACTGTAGGCTAGGGGAGCTAGGGTGACCCAAATAACCCTTAAAATAAATAAAAATTTAGCACACAGCCCTAAGTGGTTTCATACACACTACATAGTGTAGACGTACACATTTAAATCTCCATTTGAAAGAAGTAGAAAAAAGTTGCGTGTCTGATTTACAGTGGTACCCTTGAAAGTTTCTCCTGATTAGGAACGAATGAGACATCCCAAGATTTCTCTTTAAAAATTAATTTTTTTAACTGTGGGTTCTAATATTATTGATAAAGAGAGGGTTACTGGAAGATACAACGACAGTTTATGTAATGAAGTAATGTATAGTTTAAAATAAGATTTAAATCGAATTTAAATCGAAGAAGGACTTAATGTTTACAATGTAAGAAATAGTTGAAATTGTAAAACGCTGGCAGACCCTTATTTCTTAATTGTCAATATAGAGTGTCAGAGTGTTTCAGAGTGTCGTTTGTTGATTACTTGGTCCTAGGTTTTTTCCAAAAGGCTTTTTCCCAAGGGCGACTTCACAAGTGACAATTTCCTAAGTGGCAACTTCCCAAAGGTTAGGTTTGGCCTTCTGAGGCGGCACAGGCTGCAATGGCGGGGCCGAGTGCTGCGGCAAGAACAGGCTAGGATAGACTTGGGAAGTTGCCGCTTGGGAAACTTAACAGTTGGAAAATTGCCACTCGGGAAAAAACCCTTAGGAAGTTGCTGATTAGGGGAAAAAACTTTGGGAAAGTACTTCAGTAACAAAAAATGAATCATTTATTGTTCAGACTGGAGTAAAGATGGTGCCTATCCTGCAGACTGAGGAGGACCAAGAAACCCCGACCCCAGCAAACCAATTTCGGAATCAGGAAAACAAGAAATCATTGAAAATTAATTTTCAAAAAGAAAGAGAAAATGAAGAAGACGTCGAAGACATAAATACAGATCCGTCCTACTCAGCAGAAAAATCTAAATCTACAACTGATCTGAAGTCGGAGTTGGATAAACTTGATAACGATGACAAGAACGTAGAAGATGCAAAAACAATTTCTGATACCTCCGAAGATGTCTTTAAAAGTATTTCTACTTCTCCCCAAGAAGAGATTAAGACTTCCTCTGCTATTGAAGACAGTGTTGAAATTCCTGTTTCCGAAGAAAATGTGAAAAATTATTCTTGTCCTACCGAAGAAGATATTAAAAATCCTTCTGCTAGTCATGAAGTAGATTCTGAAATTCCTGAAGAAGATTTAAACTTATTTGTAAATAAAGAAAATGTTAAAAATCCTGAAACTCCTGAAGAAATTGTCAAGAAGAAAATTCATTCTAGAAAGTTCCGAGAGTAAGTATTTAGAAATTATTACACATCATAGTTTCAGAAATGGGCAGTAATCGTAATTTCTATGACCCTTAATCTTTAAAGTGACATCTGATTCACAACGGTACCCTTTAAACCATTGTCTAAACATGGTTGAATAAGGTAAGATTTCACCGATGTCCCTGGTTTTTGTTAATCTTGGAAATTTATTATTTACTGTGGTTTCTCTTCAAAAGGACTTTATTATTTCTTATGATTAAATAGTAGTAATTAACCAAACAATTTTAAATTAGAAAAACTACAAAATCTTCCATATTATTGAACAGATACAGGTTGAAAGGGTACCGTTATGACTCGAGGTTGTCTGATATTTCAACAACGATCTTTATTAATGTAATTGTATCTGTTTGTTAAGATACTGTGATCAGGACCTGTCTAAGGATTTGGATACATACGTTACAAATCTAATGTCAGATTTAATTAGGTAATTAGGAAATACTCCAGCACTTGCTTTTAGTATTCTTAATCGTTTTGAATAGTGTTGTTCAATTTTTCGAAATTTTTTATCAAACTTACAAGATTTTAAAACACATGTATTAGATAAACAATATAAATTTCCCCACTTATACAATCCTTATCAGAAGAACCCGGAATTAATTTACATTAAATCAGACGATTTTTCAATCTTATTTTACAATTCTGATTGATGAAACGATAATCACAAATAACCCTAGTCCACTCATTTCCAAAAGGTGGTCTGCCCTTTTTTAACATTTAAAATTGTCCGAGATAAAGATGTGAAGTCGCTTGATAAACGAACCAATAACAAACGGAATTCACAATACTTGTCTTATCGGTGCTAATCTGCTTTATTATTGATTCCGTAAACTTTGTATTCTAAATTTATAATTAGTTTGATATTGTTAAGCTATTTGAGATTAAATATTAAATAATTGAATATAAGATCAGACTTCAGCTAATTACCCAAAAAAAACTCAATTTTAAACTGTGTCTAGCAATGCCAGATTTGAAATATATTTATATTATAAAGTTGTAATCTCTTTTTTGTTGTTTGTCTGATCATAACTCCGGAACCCCTTTACCAAATTGCCTCAAATTTTGATATGGGGCCTCGGAAGAACCACGGGAATGTTCTTAGTTTGGTTTAGAGATTCCAAGTTGAATGGGTAGACTTTTATGGCGAAAAGTTAGTTTTCCGGTATAAATCTTCTTTTTGCGGGTAAACGGTGGGAATAACTATGAGTACCCTGGAACTAGTTTTTATGTTACTGTTAAGTTTGAAATTGCTTGGGAAATCTAAGAGTCGCTTGAGAATAAAGGTTTACGACATTTTTCTCAAAGTTTTGTTAATTAGAGTTTCAGTTATTTCTTCAATGCATATTCAAGCGCAAGGTTGTATTGGCAACCCCGCATTAGCTTTTTTTTATAATATTAAAGAAAATGTCTTTGCAATTTCAATTGACCACTTATTTAAAAAAACGGTATGCCTGATTCACATCAGTATCCTTTAAACTTTTGTCTTATCAATGTTGTGGAAGATATCGTCTTTTTTCTAGTTTGTAAAGTGTTAAATTTTCGCTATTTCTTCCGTTGTGTTTGTAGCAAGAAAGACAAGCCACAGTTGAAGTAACCAATTTCTTAAAGAAAAATCATGGATATCTTATTCATTCTTGACGAAGGTTTAAAATATACTGATGTGAATCGGACATCACTTGAAAAGGAGGATCGATTGAATTAGCGTGTACAGTCCCTTTAAGCTTGTTATATCCAGGTTCCAGGATCGACTACACGCCAAGGATCCTGTAAAAGCAAAAGCTAAACGCAGATATATTGTTGGACTAAGGGAGACGGTGAAGTTTTTAAAGGTAATCTAACAATACGAGTTGAGTAAATAAATATTCATATTATGAATATAACCTGCAATATTTTTTCTTGCATTTAAATTTTGTATTGTTTAACTAAAATATATTTAAAAACCAGAACTCAGAATTGAGAACCTAGATAAAGTATCGATTTACTACTGTCTAGGTAAAGAAGGTGACCTGCGTGATACTAGCTCCTGACCTAGAAAGAATATCCAGTGAAGGAGGGCTGGATTCAGCAGTAGATAATATTATTCGTAAGATCAATAGCATGGGTATTGAGTGGATGTTTTTCTTGAAAATCATTTATTTTTTAGGCAAAACTTAGTTCCTTTTTTTAAAAAATCTTTTCCCCTTTTGAAAAATAATTTTTTTTTCTAGAAGCTAGATATGTTTGCGCGGAGCGCCACATTTTTTAGTGGAAAACAAATGAAATTTTGGTGAAAATGTATTAATGAGGTTGAAAAATCTTGCTTTTTATGTCCATTTGTTATTTTTTTTTCTCCTCCAATCCCCCAACACAAAACAGGATGGCTATACAAAATTTTGATTAATCCAGTCTGTTTTGTTGAACTGAACCATTTATCTTGTCGGTGTTGGTAATTACATCAAATTTATATGTTACGTATTCCTTTAAACTATACTTGTATATTAACTATTCTGTACATGTTCCTAAAAACTATGCATACCTATCTATATATTCTACACACGTAAATAATTAAAAGATTCCGATTTCCAGTGGTCGCGTCGCGTCGGAGCAAAAAAAAAACCGCTGAGGTGATCAGCTATAATAATGAACTACATATCTTCTCTGTTTTTAACAATATTCATGTACAGGTGTGTGTAAAGAGCAAAGTGTACAGGTAGTGTACTCCCTAGGGAGATACAAGCTAGGACGTGTCTGCCTACGGAAGGTTCCGGTCAGTTGTGTGGCAATCATGAATCATCAAGGATCAGATGTAAGTTTTACCTTTTATTCAAGTTTTTCATAAAATTGTTATAAATTATTTTAACAGAGTTGTAAGATTTAACATTAACACTATTCTTTAAAACTAATTTCCACTCCCAAAGCTGGTTTGAGAACTAGGGGTACTATAATTTTTTATTTTATAGTTTATGATTACAATGTGCAATTAGAAAAAAAAACAGATCAAATCAGAATATCAAGATAAGATGAAACAACAAATTATTAAAAAGATATATAAAATAATTATCCTCTGAGGGGATATACGGAAAATTCACCAAGAGATAATTATGATCCAAAGAAAGGAAAGGGGTGGCTGTGTTCGACTTCTCAACTTTAACCACCAGGGGAAATTTGGAACAGAATGAAAGCTATATGAACAGATTAAAAATTTAAAAGTTTTGACCCATAATCTTGTAGGAGAACTATAAGAACATACTTGAGTTGAGCCAGCAGCTGCGGGAAAGCTACCAGGCCAGACTACGCATAGAGATAGAGAACCTTGATCCTAAGGCGGAGGAGGCGGAGGGAACCCGCCCTAGTTCCGTTCTTAAATATTCGCCAGGGAAAGAGTTCTATCCAAGGGGGTTTTCTAGCCAACCTCAAGACCAGGTAGAATATAAAACCTAAAAAATGGGCCCGGGAACAGGTAGAAGTAAGATTATGGGCCTAGGAACATGTTTAGAAACAGGGATGCCTAGGAACATGTTTAAATCCATGGATATGGGTCCTAGGAACAGATAGGACCAATTATAGGGCCAAGGCACATATAGCACCTAGGATATGGGCCCTGGAACATGCATAAGCAAGGATAAGGGCCCTAGAATAGGTAAAGGAATTAAATGGGCCCAGAATCAACTGTGATCACTGATCACAAAGTCAAGTACAAACGGACACCCAAGCAAATCTATATCTATATAATAAAATAAGACATATATTGCCTAATATATATATGTTGCCTAAAGCCGGCCAAACGGGTGGACCGTATGAGCTGGATATTTTTGTGGACACTCATGAATGGCGGGGGTTGTTATAGGATAAAAATATTCGAATTTTATTTTCAAGATTTATAAATTTTTTTTCGAAATTTTTAATTTTTTCTACGGGCAACGCCGGACTCTTCAGCTAGTTATATGTAAGTCGTCTAGAAGTTACGTCTGCAGTCCCTTTATATAATTATTGTTTTCCCATGGGTTAATGGTTTTCAAGTTTAAACATTTCTAAGAATATTTTCTTGTTTAGGATTCATCATGCTTCTGGTACCAGGAACAGTCTCATGGGTTCTCCTATTTCGAAAACAGGTACAATACAGTGAAAAACATAAAAATCAGGAATTGGAAAACGACTTTTGGATTCATGTTATGATTTAGATTGAAAATGAAACCCAGCTTCATTTTTTTAACATTTATTTTTGAATTTGAATTTTAAGAAAAGTTTTTAATTTATCTTTTTAATAGCTAAATCTGTCATCTGTGTTATGTTCCTCTCCTCATAAAAAAAGCAACAAAAAAAAGAAGAAATTTTATTTGAAAACTTTTTTTCTATTATTTAAATAATCAGAAAATCTTTTACTTTTTATGACCTGGATCCAGATCAGGATCCATTTTTTCCAGTGCTTATCCGCATCAAAATCAAAATATCAAAAGCACTTGTTAAAACTTAAACTTTAAAGAAATTTTTTTATTTAGATATTTTCCGGAGTATGAGCACAATGCCTATAACATGCAGGCGCCAGGTACAAATCAAATAAAGCGATTGTTGACTAAATTTTTGAGAAGTAGTCCTAATATTCTACGAGCCTTTCAGTTGCCTGACTTTCTCCAAAGAGAGAAGACCTTTTTTATGTGGTTCCAGAATGACAGTCTAGGGAAGAGCTGTATTTAGTTGCACATCTTGTATCCTACAGGGGAGCATGGATTAAAACAAGACTTCATCTTTAGCCTGGTGTAACTGAAAGAAGGAGTCTAATCCCTGATGGATATACAAGCCATGCAGAACTATACCGGTTTTTTACTAGACCAGCCGTGAAGACTGGACTGCTATGGAAGACTCCTCCCAAGGGGGCTTCAGGGCTTTCAACTCCCCATTTTGCATAAGGGGTGCAGTCATGGGTTTTCCTTAAAATTCCTGTTAACTTGGAAAGAGTATAAGAGAAGGAACACTGGGAGCAATCCCCTATACCCTTCCTCCTACAAACCTCCTAATCTCTCTCCAACCTGCTCCAAAACTCGTTGTCACAAGAACTATTTGGAGAGGTCTCAAAGCATAGAAAGAACAAACAGGAAAAGGAAAAATGGAAGTGAATCTCTATTGTCAAGCTACTGTCATATTTTCCGACAGCGAATATAGACAACATTAGGGCCTAACCTTCCATGCAAAGATGACAATGCCCGATTCTCAACAATAACTTTAAAAGCTTTGTCTGGAGGTTCGCTTGAAATTACTCTTACAGTCAGTCCCTTTAAGTTGCATTATTGTACATGTAGATGAAATGCCTCATTAACCCAATGCTAATCTCAAGAAACCCTCCATTGATAGAGTTACATGTTCGATTCACTACATTGGTACCCTTAAAAAGTATGAAATAGATATCCGTTTTTTATGATTAGTTTCAATTGTAGATACTCTAACAAAGTGACACAAGGATTTCTTGCTTTTATAAGAATGGAGAAATTATCAGAATTAAACACAAGCTGGAAAACTACACCTTCTACATAATTGACTAAAGGTTGCAAGAGTATCGTTAAGAATCGAGCATGACCTTTAAGTTGAGAGTCATTAAACACAGCGGCTGGTTATAATTATTTACATCAACTTAACAATAATAATAACAGGGAAGTTAAGGGAATTTTACTTTACCGAGGGTTCCCAATTTTGGTCGTTTGGTCGAGGGAACCCGTGGTTAAATATGATTTTTAATTTCCTGAATACGTAGTTTTATGGTCTTTGGAGGTGCAAATGGTTAATTTTTTTTACGAAAACTTCGCAGAGCGGGCCGTTATTTTACTAAATTGGCCCAAGGGATGTTAAGTAACCTAATGCCCCCTTGTTGGGGGAATCATAGGTCGATAATGTTGGTTTAAATGTATTTTCAACAAGGCAAATAAACAAATAAAGTTAAAACCTTAGTTTTATTTAATTTCAGATTTGACCGAATACTCTCCTGAGACTGTCCCTCTTCCTCAGTGGCAAAATATGCTGAATATTCTGAAAGGATGAAAGGGTTAAATGAACGGATGAAACCAGTGCTTAAAGTTTCCATTTGATTTTGATCCTGTATCCGCACTGAGAAAAAATGGATCCAGTTAATGAACATTTCTTTAAATTTTCTGTTTTTTTTCAAAACCACCCCTTAAAAACAGGTGTATTTTACAAGTTTCTGAAACCCGCTCAAACTACAAGAAGGGGAGGGCAGAGCCCCTCTTGCTGAGAAAGTTTTGGATTTTAGTAGTATAATGGAGCGTTTTGGTGCCCTAAAAAGGTCCCCTAAGATATTTTTTTAAGCATTTCTGTTACTGTTTCTTGTTAAATTTTGGTTTTTATTTAAGATGCAAATCATCTTTTCCCTCTTTCACCTTCTATCTTCCCCCTTTTCCCTTCCCTTTTGTCTCTTTTCCCTTCCATCTCTTCACCTTTTCTCTTCCCCTTTTCCCTTCCCTCTTCCCCCTTTTCTCTTCCCTTCCCCCTTTTTCCTTTCTTCTTAATTAAACAGAAAAATATACACCCCAGTAATATGGTTTAATGATACGTTGTTTCTGTTTCTTGATTATATTTAATTTATCGGATTTGATTTGTTATTGTTATTGATTTGTAACTCATCAATTATCAAGTGTTTTTTACTTGATGAAAATCTTATTATTTTTTCTATTTATTCTGTAAATTTATATTCAGCTTAAATATTTTTAAATTTGCAATTGTCAGAAACTATATAAAATTTATGTAATGTTTTGATTTATAAAGAAAATATATTTTTATTAAATAAATAAATAAATGGATTAGAATAAATCTGGAGGTAACTGGAACATAATGTTTATTCAATTAAAAGTTAATAATTACAATGTGCGCTAAGTGCAAGTCAAAAAAACAAATTTTAAGTGGAAAGTGTACTGTATTGAGAGTATAGTGTACTGTGTACTGTGCAGATTGTACAGTGTGTTAAGTGCATGCATACTAATAACAGAGTATCGTCATTCAACGATACTCTTTTAATTTTCCGCCTCAGTGTACTGTGTTCAGTTAGTGTATTGCGTACTGTGTCCAGTTTACAGTGTATAGTGCTCTGCACAGTGTACCGTTAACTGTGTCTAGTTTACAGTGTATTGTGTACTGTGTACTGAGTCCAAATATAAGTGTACCGTGTTCTGTGTCCAGTTTACAGTGTACAGGGCACAGTGTACGGTGAACTGTGTCCAGTTTCCAGTGTGTTGTGTACTGTGTCCAGTATAAAGTGTACTGTGTCCAAATTACATTGTACTTTGTCCAATTTTAAAATGTATTGCGTATTGCTTCCAGTTTACAGTGTGTGTACATGAGTCCAGTTTACAGTGTATTGTGTACAGTTTACTGAGTACGTATAATGTACAGTGTTAATTGTGCAGTACATTGGTAGTTTATGGCTATAATGTGACTTTAAACCTTAAGATTCACAATTAGTGTACAAAGTACAATGTACATAGATCGTTGACTTGGAACTAATCATACATATCCACTCAAAACAACCAACCCTGGTTAGGCGGGTCCAAACTGCATAGTAAATTGTGATTGCTTAATTGTAATATCTCATGCTTTGTAGTTGAATAAATATATGAATATGAATACATATATGACAAATGATTGATCAGAATAACATTGTCGTCGATTATCTAAGCACAGTGTCCCCCGTTGTATTGTCTAAGGTCTGTGTCAGCTAGATGAAGTCCATCAGCTGTCTTCAACATGATGTAGTTGGCAATACTCTGACACCATCTAAATAAATTTGGCTTACATAAAGTACTATAAGGGGGGTGAAACTATTGTTGATAAAAATGCTCAAATCCACCTTGCACCAGTTCTCAAGTTTTCTTTCATACATTTTTTTTAATTGAGAATTTTTTTAGAATTTTCAAACTCATTTCGGATTTTTTTGTTTTGTGTATATCATATCACTAATGTAAGCCAGAAAAAAAATCGTCAAAATCAATTAATATGGGTACATCTAAATATTCTCGTCTAGAAACACTAATTTTAAAAACTTTAATTTTGTAGAAGTCTCTTGAAAATTGGGAAAACTATAGAAGTCTCTTGAAAATTGGGAAAACTATAGAAGTCTCTTGAAAATTGGGAAAACTATAGAAGTCTCTTGAAAATTGGGCAAAACTATAGAAGTCTCTTTAAAGAACGACCTCCCCTTGATCTCTGTATTCTTAAACCGTTAAAAATTTAATAATTTAAAAAAAACTAATTCTGAAAACGTATCCACCCCCAAAGTAAGAGTTTTGAACGTCGAATTTGCGATCAAACTCAGGATTTGCAGATCTTTAAAAAGTATGTCTCAAATGAATCCGAAAGAAGTTTTCCACAACACTGCATACTCAGTTCAATTACCTTACATAGCCGGTCACTCCCTTTAATAATTGATTTTTTCTTTTTTAAGTATGCTTCTTTTTTGCTACGGCATAATTTTTTGCAGTTCAAAAAGGATTTGACATTTTTGATTGAATAGTTTCACACTTACATAAAATAGATTAGAAAAATTTAATCAATATTTTATGTCTGATGTTGTTTTAAAGCAAATAGTTTTACCATTAGCTTGCTTCAGCTTTTAATGTGGAATACTTGTAGGTTTAAGTAATATAGACAACTTAGTTTTAGTACATGGTGTCCCACGAAACATGACAGTACCAAGAAAACGAAGGTCGCCTTAGATCTTTGAAATACTTTGAGACATTTATATATTTATCACTGAATACCTCTAGTTATGGTATTTCCTAATTGTGGTCTGCCTTTTTGTGCTTTTTAATAGAGATGTGAAGAATTTTCTTAAGATTTCAACAATTTTGGTTTTATTAAATCACATTAAAATCTGACCGACATTTTGGAAATGCCAGGACAAAGGAAGTTTTGAGGTTTTGTTTTAAGAATTATACATGTTAAATTAGGTTGAGGACTGAATGTTACAAATAAATTCAAAGATCAAATTAATGACCGACTTTCAAGTCGTCTTGCCTCTGTCACTTCCTACTGTACATGATTTCAAATAATCAAGCTTACTTGATACACTTCCTACTACATTTATGGATTTTGAATTACCAATCTTACTGTTTCATACACTTCCTACTGTACATAATTTCAAATAATCAAGCTTACTTGATACACTTCCTACTACATTTGTGGATTTTGCATAACGAATCTTACTGTTACATACACTTCCTACTGTACATTATTATAAATAATCCAGCTTACTTGTACATACACTTCCTACTGCATCTATGGTTGTAAGGAAACCTAAGTCTTGTCCCCATGCACTTCCCACGGTCAATTCTCAGCGAGTTTTCCTAATAAAAAACTTTTAAAAGGACAAAGATATAATTTCAAACTGAACCCTCCATTAAAAGAGTGGCATGTGCGAGATATTACGGAGCCATTAGACCTGTATATCATAGTATTAATTAGAAAGATATATCTCCATATTGTAATCTAAAAATAGCTGAATTCTGAAAGTTCTGTCATGTTTCTGCAGCATGAATCCGCAAGTTACTTATGAAAAGAACCGCTATTGAAAAATAAATTTTTATACACAAACTTGGATAACTCTCATAATTCTTGCTCAGGCAGAGGTTTAAAGGGTACCGTTGTGAATCGGACATGGCACGAGGATATAACTACAATAAATGATTAGGATTTCGTATTTATTTAATTTGAATCGTCTTCCATCCTTGTGTGCAGAACGCTCCCTGCAGTCTTTCAGGAAGCCTATAACGCATGAAATCCCAGAATAAGTTATTTGTAGGGGAGACATAAAAAAACAGTTCTTCCATTGTATTTATTTCGTCTCAAATGTACGTTCTAAATAAGTTGATGTAAACTCCATGATATATACAGGCAGACTAAGGAAAATAACATATTAATCTCACAACAATATTATATACAGAGCGTCCCATATCACATTAGATTATTCTTAAAGCTTTAACGCCAAAATGGCAAATAATACTCGAAAAACCTAGTATTTTTCAAAATAATATTTTCATTTGCCATAAAACATTTTTAAAAAATAAATCATTCTTTTAAAATTTTCTGATTAGTCTATGAAATCTTAATTTAAAGGGATATAAACGACTAATGTGATGTGGGACACCCTGTATGAAAGAAATTTCTCTTTAATATTAATAACAAAATGATAGCTTTTGTACAGTTTAAATGTGTCTTATTATTTGTAAGGAATATTATACCCTAAAATCTAGCATAAATGCACAGGTTGATATACCTGTAAGTCTCTAAATTCTTAGTTTTCTATCCTTTTTATACCAAACACCTTGTTACCTTGACCCTAATATCTTGTCTCAGTGCTCCTCTTGATTTGAGAAGTCTCTCCCTGGCTCCCTCCGCCTCACTTAATAAAGAGATTTGACCGATACGCTTCAGAGTTTGTATCATTGCAATGAAGAGGACTTTTCTATTTAAGTTTTGATTTCTAACAAGATTATTTCAAATCACAAGTACAAGTAAACAAAAAGACAGTTTCTCTTTTGTTCCATCATGTTTTTATGCATCCATATTGAAAGTTTGGTTGAAATCAAAATTAAAATCGAAAGGCGTCGTAACTTGTAGTTTAGGAGGTAGGGATCAAATTTGTTGCTAAACATTGACAATGAAAATCTTCATCTTTCATCTTGGATGAATCAATTTTGTAAGAG